GACGTTTTGTTCCGGAAACACTATATATTCTATAAAATAATTTTGAAAATTTTTTAAAACTTTATCTCCTTGAATATTCTATGCTATTAGAAACGAGACAAAAAATTGGCTTAAGAATTTATAAAAAGGTTCTTACTAAATTTATACTACTTCTGTTTTGACTCTTTAACTACTTCACAAAGATTTTTTTAGTTTTTTAACTTCAAAAAGCAGACTGAAGAAGTAAAGTATTTAACTAATTCAAAAATTGGGAGGTTGGCACACAAAGCACGCAAAGGGCAAAGCCCATCTTCTAATATATATATACATATATATATAATGAAGTCACATCATTAAACATTATATACTACTCGAATATATATATTTAACGTCGGCGACTCAATTCATTGACACCCACACCATGCTCTGCACCAAATATTTTATTATATACCAGTACCTATATCCAATACAGCACAAAGGAAAATTCTTTTATATTTATACTCCAATTCAGGTACAAAAAGTTTTTTCCTTTGTATTGACACGACAATCAAATAATCCATATCATACCACTTTTATTTTAATTTATGCTTGAAGCTTTATTTACAAAAACAAAAAAGTAGCAGTCTTATCAGCCAAACAGCCGAGATGTAATTTTTGTATTTTCATTTTATCACGTTATACTTTTATGAAAAACAATTTTTTTCAGTTTTGTTTTATCACGAATGCAAGTAAATCAGCTTATACCTAATATCACAAAATGCGCCTTTTCTTTGCTAAGCTGCGTACAGTTTCATTTTAAATTTTACAGCTTGTTATTAATTTTTAACTTTTTGACCATTTTTATAGGGATGGTCAACTAATTCAAGTAAATTAGTTGAAAGATCGAATAGCGTATTTTTTATGATTATTGTTATCTATACATGCATCCAAGTCGAGTCGATATTTCTGCAGTTCACGCAACCGCTAGAGAAATATAAAAAGCGCATATATATACGTATTTTCTTTATTGCTTTATTCATAAATATGCATACGCGATAAAAATGTTCTTTTTCAACATACGCTATTTTATGCTTTTAGTCAACATTTTTTTGCTGAAATATAAGGAAAAAAAAAACATGATAAATAAAAACTTCAAGCGACAATCTAATAACAGAAAACAGAGCACATGACTCGATGTATACATTTTACTTTTTTATCTTCATCTTATCAAAGAAAACAAAGTTAAGTTCAAAGGAAACGAAAGCGATGATTTGGAGCAGATACACGAAACTAGAGCAAACACATTTGGATTATCAGGTATGTAAATTTTGAGTAACATATACTTGTGTTACAGGATAGGAAAGAAAAAAGAAAACTTATTAATTGCACGTTAATTGGTTGCGCAATTGTAAGGATGACAAATTTAAGTAAGTCGCTCATTTTTCTAAAAATATTTTATTTATTTTCATTTCGTTGATTATTTTACACTTACATGTAAGAAAATCATATATGTAAATATATCATCGTAGAAAAAAAAGTGAAATTACATCAGAAGAAGAAACTTGACATTCCAAAAATCCTCGTCTACACTTAAAGTCACGTCAATAAATTAAAATACTTAACGCTATGCCCTCGCAATATAATATATTCCGGAATTCCGCTGATATGAGTGATTAGAGATTCGCGTGTGATTTGATGGCTGAACTGACGTAAGCCGCATAACTAATCATTTCGATGAAAAATAAATGGAAGAACAATCGTTGTTTCAGTTTTTCTTTTTTTTCTTCCTTTTTGTTTCTAATTGAGGAAGAAAAATCGATACCTTGGAATTTGCAACATACTCGCGATCGTCCGTCGTATAAGTTGTAATGCCGAGGAAACTTTTTCGTGTAGTACTGATATATATATCCATTTGTAGTAAACTTATTGCCCAATACAACCGTTTCCGGATAATGTGCTTTTATTGTGGAAGCAAAAAAAAAATGTTTTTATCCGATTTCGATATTCACCGATTCCCGTAAAAGATAAACATATTTAGTTATAATTGTAGGATACTTAAAAATTATCATTCGACCATTCGTCGCTTGTATAAAAAACATCACTGCTTGTTGATATAGAAAAAAAAGTGGTTTTCATCTCGATCTCGTGCGGCGGACAACCTATTTTCCACCCGCGTTAACTGGAAAATCACCATTGACGCGCGTTTGAGCTCAGTCTTTGTTGGCAAGACTAAAAAATCGAGCTAAAGGAAACCGAGCTGACTCGAAAATTTTTTTACATTAAACAAAACAAAAAAAAACCAACTATAATATAATGTGCATGCATGTACGTTTAGATGTACTGCTTGAAATACAAAAAATCCACCTTTCTCTCTCTCTATATATATATATATATATATAGGATATATATATTCTTCTCATTTGCGCCACAAGTGCATCCAAGTAAGTACACAACACGCCTCGTAGAGATAAAAAAAATTGTATAGTATAGTTTTGTTTCGTCCGTTGCACGGAAATGACATCTTTTAAAAAACTGAAATGACACCCTCGATGGACAATTGACACCCCAGAGTCCGCGCTGCAGGTGTAAACGTACACAGGTAGGTATTATCGTTGGATGATGATGATGTTGTGCTTGAAAAAATATACACGTGGGTATGTATGTTAGTATGCGCGATGCATGGACGACGACGGCGAAGGGAAGTAGGGGGTGAGTTCCAGTGGGCCACAGGTACGTATATATATGTATGTTATATCCATGTTCCAAAAGAGACCTCGAGATGTGTAACCATGAGTACACACTACACGGTAAGTTGAAAAAGTCGTATACTAAGTGTACGCGCAGTATGGGTAGGTAACAATAACGTATATATGTAAGATACAAATATGTACACTACTGTGTGCATGGTGTGTGTGTGTGTCTGTATAGTTCAGCGAGATTGTTCGGCGCGCAACGCCGATACCCCCGGTGCTGGAAGAGCGATGCCGGTCTCACCGCGCGCCTCCGGATCGTTGGCCGCAGCCTCGGACTCCTTGAAGCGCTTGTACTTTTCTGAAAAAGAAAAAAATAAAAAAAAAAAAAAGGTTAAAGATAAGAACGAAATGAGCGCGCGAGGTATAATGTAGGTCGCACGAGAGCCTCGTTAAAATTCAGAGATGCGACCCCAGATATATATACCATATATACCCCCTCCCCCCCAAGCAGGTATATACACACATATATGTAATGATAATAAAACACGTAAGATATTATGAGTGTAACATATATAGTATAATGAAATGAGTACTTGCGACGCGGAGCATAGTGACGCCCCACCAGATGCTCCAGCCCCAGCCGACGAGGCAAAAGAGGACCGTGAATAGTTGACTGACGCCCACGACGATGTCGACGGTGAGGGCGCCGAACCTGGCCTTGGGGCTCGCCGTCGCCGAAAATCGCGGCTGACCGCAGCACAGGTTGAACAACCCGCTCATGGTTGTACCTGCATCAACAACGACAACATTAATGAAATGTATGTATATAGCGTTAAATTATCATCGGTCGGAGATTTGCGAGTTTTACCAGAGCCGGGGAGGAGGACGTTGCAGATAAGACAGATCCAGGCCAACGGCACCGGCAAACAGGGTATCGCGCCGCGCATCACCGAGTTGTGCTCGATCAGGACATCCGGCAGCTTTGGCCTGGTGTCCTATTTTCCAGCCACGTGCGACAAGGACACACACACACACACACGTATATATATATATAAATTGTAATTTTTAGTGCACATGTGTGTAACCAAATGGGTGTAATAAAATTACCTCGGCGACGGGGGGTGGAGCTATGCTGCCGACGCTTTGTTTGGCCCTGGGGTTCTTGTTGGGCTTGTCGGGCCTCTTGCAGCAGGATGGCAAGCCGCAGCCGCCGGTGCAGCACTTTGGGAGGGTGCAGCAGCCGGCGCAGCGCGTGAAGAGGCCCCGGCAGAGCCCGCCCAGTCGACGTCCCGGTCCACCGGGGCAGCAGCCGGGTTGCCGGGAGGCCATCTCGACGGGGCCCACCTGGACGTTTTGGGCCCCCCGCCTCGTGCCCAATCGCGTCAGCGCCCTCAGCCTCGCGCACCTGTTCTCGCGGCGATCGTTACTACGTGTAGGTCGATTTTTTTATGCGAGCGCATGTATTACCTGCAGGCTTCCTTGATCCTCGACCATCTGCTCGGGGTGACCTTGAGGCTGCTCGACTGGTGGCCTTGTTGCTTGGGGTTGCCCGGGGAGTCGAGGGTCAACTGGAGGGTCGAGGCGGTCTGGTTGCGGGACTGCTTGCCCGGCCACGGACGGCCCTTGGGCTCGCGCTTCAGCGCTAAGCAGCGCATCTTTGGCCACCACCCGGGGAGCCCTTTGCCCTTCCTCCTCTGCTGCTGCTGCTGTTGTTGCTGTTGTTGCTGTTGTTTCTTACTACCACCGGTGATGAACTTGTTGCCGAACTTTAGACGCTTCCACCTGCTCGCGGCCGTCGGTTTCTTACGGCCCTTGGGCCCGGGTCGCTTGGCCGATGGTTTCGCCGCACCCGCTGCTGCTTGTGTCCTTTGATAAACAAAAGCCCGCGTGGGTTATATAAGATAAACACTTGCCGATACCGATGCCGCGCCGGTGCGTATATACAAACGATTTTTACCGATCGATCGGAAACAAACGGAGTTTTGAGAAAGTTCCAAAGAGGAGGAGACAAAAAAGCCCAGTTGGTCGCGGTGTGGTACGGTAAAGTGGAGCGGCACGTGTCGGGGAAGGACTCGCGGCAAACTGAAGGGTTGTCGTGACTGACTGAAGGAAAACGAGAGAGAGCCAGCTGCTGCCGGTGGTAGTGAGTAGCTCGAGTTGACCATCGGACTCTGGGTGTGTGTGTGCGCGCTGCCGAGATTGCGGCACCGGTCGGTCGAGAAGGGGCTCGCCCGTGTATAGCCCCTCATCAGTCGCCGCTGATGTTAACTCTGGTCACGCGAGCCCAACGGCCCTCTCTGCTCGTACACACACGCGCGCGCGTAGGGATCGATAAATCTCGAGCACTTTTCCCCCCCCCCCCCTATTTCTTTCCAGAGGTGTACTCCTTAGCCTTTTGCGCTGCCCTGCTTTTCTCGGACATACGTGTACGTAGGGAAAGTACTTACGTGCCCGAGAGAGGCCTTGGCGAAATTATTTCAACTACGCGCGCTGCTGCTGTAATTATATACATGATACTTTTGTCGCGGTTAAGCCAACGTCGTTGGGGCCGTTATTGTCATTACCCGCGAGCTTGACCTTGGGATAGGTGTTACGAACGAGATGCCTTTTGGTCTCCCCTTTTTTCTTTAGTCCGCGACGCAAGTAGTAATGACCGATTGTGGTCGGACGTGAGCGCAGTAGATACGGAAGGATACAAATGTGTAATATTTACCACGTAAGAAAAAAAGAACAAAAAAAAAACGAGTTCCAGCACAGTTCGCGCGGGTGAAAAAATTTCGTCGAAAATCGTGAAAATCATCGATTTCCGCGTACAATAGGGACGAAAATTTAGATATGTAAACTACACAGCCAGACATTTGCATTTATCGAACATTCGACGTTTGGCACGTACACGAATAAAAATAAAAAAAACAATTAGGCATCGATCGGCAAAGTTACGACGTCCCCAAGAAATCGGCGATGATGGAATTAGTGATGAGAGAGAATTGAATTTATTTAATACAGAGTTAAGAGCTAGTCGGTCTTTGTAGCTCGGCTTGTTATGCAATTACATATCTCAATATAGTAGGAGCTATTTGCAGCCTACTCCCAGTCTAATTCATAGTAAAAATTGATAAAATAAATAAATAAGTAAATAGATATAAAAAATAAATAAGTAAATGAATAAGTAGATAAAAGTTTACATAATATATCGTATCGCAGTTAGTAAAATCTGAGAGAGAGAGAGAGGAGGGTCGGATAGAGAAAAAATCAAAGACCATCGTAAGAAAAAAAAAAGGAAGGAGAGTACATGTGTACATTTTACACAATAATACCCAATGTAATGCTGGGCGCCACTTGACCTTGGCCGCGCACGCGACCCGTATAATACACCTAGGACCGGCCGAACGACCCCCCCCCCTTCGAAATTTTTACACATACATGCGCTCGTTGTCTGTACATACGCGTGCAAGCTTTGTTACTTTTATTTCTCGCTTTCCCCCCTCGCCCCCCCCCATTTTTTTGGTCTTAACTTTGCCCTAAGTGGTGTAATGATATAGCTATTTGGTCCTCAAGGTAAACCGATTTTACGGGCACTCGAGTGATTTTCGACCACCCACTTGGAAGGAAAATTTCTCTGGTTTTCCCATTATTGAAAATCACTCCACGCGTGCCAGAGGGTTCGATTTGCGAGATTTCTTTCGTTTCCCGCATTTGGTTTAGAAAAGCGCGACCCATGGGCTTCTTATCGCTTTCCGTGCCCTTTGAAGTACACATACACATGAAAATACGCAAATTACAAAATGCGAAACAACGAGCCGATTTTTCATTTTTCTTTCATTTTCGCGTCAGGTGTAATTATTGTACACACGGGCGTTTGTTTGGCCAAAAGTGAGATTTCAACTTTGGACGACCGGACACTTGACGCCCTGTTCGTAAAATATCACAATCTCGGGTTGTTGGGGGAAAAAAAGCGCCAAGTCCGCGTTTGAAAGTTTAAATTCAAAATGGTTAATTGGGTCGCTGAATTGAAAAAAAAAAAAAAAAAAAAAAAAACAACGTGCATGCGATTACAATGTGAAAAATGTGCTCGAGACAGGCAATCGAGAGAGAGAGAGAGAGGGAAATACAAGACAAATGCACCAAAACAAACAAATCGGCGCTTATAATATACATATATCCACGCACGAGAGCCGCACGTGTGCGAGGCCCGTATTGCAGTTTCGCATTAACAAAGCAGGCGTTTGATGCCAAGCCGCGATTTATTAACCCTCCGCATGGTGAAACGGCCCGCTGACGTCGACGTCGGCAATGTAAATCGTGTGTGCACTCCAAACAGCGGCAGCAACTCCTTCTTTTCCCAATACATGCACGCGTGTCTAACGCCAACTCCTTCGAACGAGGATCGATACAGGAGAGCTGGTGGCGCGCACACACACACACACCTATGCATACCCGTATATCCCACCGCCCACCGTGCAAACTGTATAATAGGGTGTACGTGTAACGACAGCCAAGGGGTTAAGGAACTCTGGACCTTTGCACGTTCTCGACTGCTTACATTATCAAGCCCTAGACCGCTTTTTCTTCCCCGATCTTTTCTTCCTTCGATTCAATCCGATTCAACGCGACCGAGAGTGTTGTTTTTACATTCCAACGCGAGTAAGCAATGATAAGGGGGGGAAAAAAAACCCACGTCCTCTCGCCGTTGTTCTCGTGGTGGACGACGTTCCCGCTGAGGGTTTCGATCTCGTCGGGCCGCTTGACGACGTGCAAGCCGGTCTTCTCCTTGGCCGAGGACACGCCCCTGACCGTGTTGACGCTGACCCCCGTGTCGGTCGAGTGGAGGCTCCCCAACGAGTCCGACTCAGCGGTGATCGCCTCCTGCGCGTTCAGCGTCACCCTCTTCCTGTTAGCCATCGCCCTGTCCTCCCCGTCGGGTGCCGTTACCCTATTTGCCCCGCTGTCCGTCCTCGACGCCGGGGACAGCTTCTTCGAGTCGCTCGTCGACGCCGTCGACTTGCTCGAGCTCTGGGCTATGCTGCTCTTGCTGTCCGTTTTCTTGTGCGTCGACAACGACGCCTCGCGCTCCTCCTACGAACAAAGTGTCGTTGCACACAAAGTGCCCACCATATTCAAATGTATATATACATGAGAGTACAAAAAAAGTCACCGCTGTCGCGTTCTGCCTTCCCGTCTCCGAGGCGTCCGAGCTAGGGTCGCCGGCCTCATTCTCCGAGTTGCCGGCCTCGGCCTCCGCGGTCTTTTGCCTGCTCTCCAGGCTCTTCAATTTCGCCGCCAACTCGTTCTCGGACAGTATGGTCGTCGCGTCGATGTGCAGGGGCTGGACGGCCGTCGTCGTCGTCGTGTTAACGACGCTCGAGGTGCCAGTCGCCCCCGACGACTGCCTCAGCAGCTCCACCAGGCCCCCGTCCTCGTCGTTGGCCTGCTGCGCCACGCTCTCCCTCGACAAAGACTTGGTTTTCTTGCTGCTGCCCGTCTGCAAGAATCATTTGCGATTGTTTGTTGTCTCCTACAAACTACATCGACAAATTTAATGAAAAAAAAAAAAAAAAAAAGGGGGGTATACATTGTTGTCCGCGCTGGTTTTGGGCTCCTCGGGTTGGGCGCTACCGCCGTTGTTGGCAGTGGCTTCGCCGTCGGCGAGGCTCTGCGTGGACGCTGAATCACCCGTGCCGAGGCCCCCCTGCCTCCTCGGGATCCTCGAGGGCGAGTCGCCGACTCTGTTGTTGCGCTGCGTCGCCTTGGCCGCCGCACTCGTCGACGTGGCAGTGATGAACCTCTTGTTGTTGCCCGGCTTCGGTGGCGCCAAGTGGTTCCGGTCGTACCTGTGGTTCGGCAGCGACCCGTTCGGCCTCGCCGTCCCCTAAGTATCAATGAAAAACAACGGGTTCAAAAAAAGAAAAAAGTTTTATACCGTGACAGCGTGTATAGGTATACCTTGTTGGCCGCGGCTGGTTTGTTGGGCGAGCCCCGGATGGGCGAGAGTTCGGGCGCCCTCTGTCTCGCCGGCCGGCGACCGCTACTGGCGTTGTTGTTGTTGTTGTTGTTGTTTTTACCGGCTATGCTGGACGCGTAGTTGTCGCTGACGGCGCGTCTGCCGTACCGGGGAACGAAGCCGTTTTCCTTGGATTTGGTCGTCGCCAAGTTGGCTCGGGCCGCCGCGGGTCTCGGTATCTGGCTGCGCTTCGGGCTGTTCTGATTCGAGTGCGAGCCTACGGCGAAGAGAAGGGAGGGGAGGGAAGCAACGAATGAAAAAAAAGATTGGTAAATGTGCGCGTGGAGGCCTACCTCGGCGGCTGTCGGGGGAACGGGGCCTGGAGCGCGATCTCGCCCGGGGAGGCGGGCCCTTGAAGCCGCGGCCTCGAAAGGGCGAGACCCTGCCGGATCCGGGCCTCGAGGGGGCCGTAGCCTCCCCCGTGGGGGGACTCGGGGGCCTTGGCTCGGCAATGATGGCGAAACTCGAGTTGCGGTGGCTGCGCCCGTAACTCGTGCTCAGGGGCGTGATCTTGTAGGGCTCGGGGGCTCGGGCGGGCGGGGGCAGTGGCTGATGGATCGTCGGCTCGCAAAAGATCCGGCCCCCCGGCGAGAGGACCCGAAACGGCGGTGCTTCCATCCTGCTGCTTTGGGCGTACGTCGTGCAAGTCTCGCGGGTACCGGTGGTAGTAGTGGCGATCTCGGTACGACTCGCAGCATGCCTTATATTTATATATAATATATACACACACTCTCGGCCTACATCGTGAGCCAGCTGCTACTCATTATCCCCGATCTTCGGTACATGCTCATCGTCGACCCTCCGCTGACGATCTGCTGGCACGTGATTATTATTGTTAACGGGTATTGGTGTACATGCACGGGATATATAGTTGTTCCGGATGTCGGAGTTTACTGCGTGTACATATACAATTCGATTTCCTCGCTCGGATGAGCATCGGCAAATAATCGGTAAAAATATACCCAAGCGAGTGCATTTCTTTTGTAGCCACGTGCATGTATACGTATACTATAGGTACTCTTTGCTGGAGAATAAGAAGGCTTATTACTCGGTGCATCCTCTTGGCGGTGTCTGCTGCAGCAATGAATATACACACTGTCACGCTCTCATTCCTCCGAGATGATGTGGGCCGCTGTTCCAACCATAGGTGTACATGCGTTCCTATGCAGTCTGGGTGTAATAGGTGTGTACATGCACGAGGAGCCGATGGCCTACATCCGACTCATATTTTTTCAGAGGCGAGTCACTTTATTTGTCGGCGTGGCCGGTCGGAAGAACATTTCTCTCCGGAACCCTCGTAGCGCGTCATTCCCGACGATCCTTCGTCGTATGTGTGTTTTCTTGTTCGCGCGCACATCCGCCGAGTCAATTCACGCGCTCTTCTCTCGGTTGCTCCGGTTTCCTGTGTGTTTCACGTGCAAACAACAATTTTTGCATTTAGCTCACCCGTCTGTACATAATATGTAGGTACTCGTTTTTAATAACGCGAATGGAAAAAAAATCAAGCACTCGCATTACACGAGCTATACGGCGTTTTTACAGAGTAAAAAACGTGACGCGAGAGCGGGTTGATGGGGCGTAATAAGCGTTTAACGCGTGCACAAGCTCGTACGTGCAGTGATGCGCCGCACATGAGGTGTGCTGTCGCTTCTATGACGATGATGTGTATGCGGATGATGGAAATGTGTAATGACGAAAACAGTTATATACATGTACATCTGGGTGATGGGCACGACACGGAGGGAATACGGCACGTATAACCGTGCGCCGGCTCTGCACATTTATGGTTTTTTGTGCAATATCGAGAGAGAGGCCCATTAAATCGCGGATACGCTTTGCACGTGTTCTCTTGCGGTAATACCCGTGCACCGTGGCGTTTTATGCGCACAGGCACCGTAAGATTGTATACATTTATATACCGCGGACGAACCGGAGCGTGGCACTGTACACTACTATTTTAGGTACACTTTGCGGTCTCGTTAAAAAAAAAAAAGGAAAAAAGAAAAAAAGAAAAAAATCGTTACCTCCTCCCCGGTGGTGGTGTGACAAAACGGCGGGTACGTTGTTTTCGCGGTTGTAAATTGAAAAGCTGTGGGTAAGCCGATTGTTTACGGAGAAAGTAAAAACTTCTACCGAGATGAGATCGAGGAAATCGACAGAGTAGCAACAACAGCGGAGCCTTTTTTTTAAATCATTTGTCCTTCCTCTGTATAAAAGCGAGCAAATTAACTCTTTACGCTTAATCCATCGACGGCGAGCGCGCAGTTATAAAGGCGCAAGAAAAACTTTCCTTCACCCCCCCCCCCCCCCCGAGTGGCCCAAGTCGTCTCGACCCGAGTGAGACAATGGAAAAGGAAAGCAACGAGAGCCAAACGGCCAGAGAGTTATATAAATCTCGGACCCTCCGAGGAGTTGTTCCGCTCGCGCGCCCGGCGAAACTCGCGCAAGTCCATACGGGGCGCAATTAAAGGCCCGCGCGCTCGTGAAGAAAGCGAAAAGTTCGGACTATACGTGTGCCGGTTTTTTATACATTGCCCATCCATTTGACGTTTTGCAATGTGAAAAACAACAGTATACAAACACCCCTTCCTTACCACCCAGGGGGAAGGGGGGGGGTGAACCGAACAAATAAATCGTAAGTGTTGTAAAAGTAAAAGTCAACGGGCGCGCGGATTCGGGGAAAAGTTTTACTGCCGCGCGTGTCATTTCATACCCGAGTGCGTCGAATCGTACTTGTATATTACACGAGAAGGAGAAAAGCAATTGCACGGAAATCGACTCGGGTGGGCTTTCGAAAACGTATTAATTTCCAACGGGCGTTAAAAACAATTCGCACCGATTTCGCGATGTATACATGGGCACCATACATATATACATACTGTACAACATTGCGATGAGCGGAGATGAAAAAGCGCGATACACGTACGCGCGTTTGTAGGGAATAATGATAACGAGAGTTTATTTTTACGGCGACTTGGGCGGTCTATAAATAAACGAAAAACGAAAATAGCCGCGTGGTGTTAATTTACATCGCCTGCGTGTACCGTTGTTGTTGTTGTTGATGCGTGTGACATTTGTGGCCAACGATGGTATAGCGTATCATCCAATACATGTACCGTGTACACCCGTGCAAAAGTGTTAAGTAAGGGGTTGGTCCCTCTATATATCGATCTCTCTCTCTCTCTACCCGCGCGAATGAGCCGAGCTTGCAAGCTGTGCCGCTCGTATGTACACACATATACTGACCAATGGACATTACATCCGTACCAGCACACTCGCCTCATACTTATACTTTATATGCATGTGGATTTTGTGTACGAGGATATATTTTTGGGGGAGCACATGCCAGACTCGATGGAGAAGTCACATGCGAGACTCCGCACTTTCAGCTGTTAATCAACTCTCTCTCTCTCTCTCTCTCTCTGTACCTGTACGTATACATATAGGTACTTTGGGCGCACACGTTAATACATTTTACACAACTGTACATAAATATTGTGCTTTGTATAAATACATGCATATATATATATATATATATATATATATATATATATATATATATATATATATATATATATATAAATATGTTTTTGTACGTGTGTACACTGTGCTGACAGTATAATGTATATTGTACACATGTATACACGTGAGGTAGAAATTTACTAGTTTATATATAAGCAATGGTCGAGGGACGAGATCTTTAATGCTTTTTATTGTGTAGGTGTAGCGTGTAGAGGAATATGTCCATTATACTTGACTACCGCTCGTGGGAGGAGGCACAAAGCACCACTCGTGTGTATATTTATGTTTATGCGCTGGAGGTACGACGTTTCTCTGATGTGTATTAATGGGCCGCAACCACCGCGCCTTTGAAAGGCTTGCAAGCTCTGCTACGAGAGATTAAAAATATAATCGAGGGCCAAACAGCCAAACAAAACAAAAACAAAAAAAGTGACGATGATATGTGGTATTGTTTTTTTTTTTTTTTTTTTTTTTTTTGTTTTTTTTTGGCTACGGCACGTGTGAATGTTAACGGGTGTGCTTGCAACGATTGATTTTTCGGGAGATTGGGTGTTGCAACACAAATAAAACAGCGAAGCTTGACAAAAGTGTACTCACCGGTGCGGCTGCGAGATTCCCCCGTTCCCCGGATCGGCCACATTTTTTCATTTACATTTCCAAAGGAGAAACCAAAAAAACGGGACTATCGACCCCGAGAGGGAAAAAAAAAAAAAAAAAACCCACCCGCGGGGAGACCCCCCAATCGAAAAAAAAAAAAAAAAAAAAAAAAAAAAAGGAAAAAAAGGGAAGTAAAGAAGCAGAGCCTCGCGAGCGTGAGCCGGTGAGTTGCGAGGTGTGTGTATATATATATATACCTTCGACAACGGCGCACGCAAGGCCGAGAGGCGCTTTCGTGGCGAGCGCCAAATAGCGACTAACACCCAGTGGTATACACAGGCCCGGCCGTTGTTCACCACTGCGGACGTTACATCTCTCCTTGTGTGCGCGAGAGAGTCGAGCAACCTGCCGGCCGAACCTATGCCTAGAAAACGGCGGAAGGGGCCTGGCGGCTCTCTCTCTCTCTTTTCTGCGATCATCCCCTCCTGCTGTGCATGTGTGTGCAACTATACTCGCTTGATGCAAGCGCGGACAATATACATACTGGTCACCCCTTTTTTTTTTTCTAAATATCGCTTTCCTACGATTTTTCGATGCTCCGAACCTACGTGTACACGCGTAGACGCCACTTGGTTGTCAATTAAGTTTGATTTATGGCCATTTGGATTATAGGCAAGCCCCAAGGTGATGTTCGATTTTTCTTATTTATTTGTTCCACCAACCTCGGGCGATCCGGGTTTTCACGCTCTTACAGGGGGATGAAAAAAAAAAAAAAAAAAAAAAAAAATCAAGTTGTTTGTTTCGGTTTCAAAGAACAAAACTTGCCGATCTTTCACGGGGGGTACAGCCGAACTACCGGTAAGGCGGTTTAAGGGCGAAGCGAGCCGGGAGGGAGGGGAAAAACTTGAAATAATGGGAGTGCTGGCTCGGTAAAGACTTATAATTGCAGACACCGGAATAATGAACTTTGACGTCGAAGGGAAAAGGAGAAATGTTACGGGGTGTGTGTATATGTGCGTGCGTAGGTACTGTACGAGCGGCGGCCGATGGGCTTGACCTCCAAATGAGATGTGGGTCACGGAAAAGCAAAGCCCAGATATCGGGATTCTAAATCGTACCCTCAACACGTACGAACTCGCGGATGGGGTGTATGCACATATTTATACACACACAAATATGTATATAGGTACTTCACCCTTGCACAGAGACAAGGGTTTGTATTGTTACCTGCTGTGTTTGTATATGTATGTACCAAAGATTTCGTTATGGCCATCCCTTCCGTACCAAGTACACTTGAGTATATATATATACTTTTATCACAGCCGAAGCAACAGAGTCCATGTGCTGGGTGCTTGTGCTTACACTCATTATGGCTGCCTAACGCGTTTACCGATCGATTTCGAAAATTTGGATGTTTTGTACGCCCATGGTATAAATAATGTTAGTCGGCCAAGCAAGCATTTAGCCGAACCGATTTTGCAGCGGTCGATTTGGTATTTCTAAATTTCCTCTCGCCAGAGATTTACCGATACCCGCAGTCATCGATCTGCGTTAAGGGGGGAAAGAAAAAAAAAAAAAAAAAAAAAAAAAAAAAAAAAAAAAAAAAAAAAAACAGGGGGGAAAAAAAAAAAAAAAAAAAAAAAAAAAAAAAAAAAATTGAAAAATGAAGACAAAACGCCGACAGACGGGTAATAAAAGTAATTCACTGCCTCGCGCGAACTACAAGCCAGCTGTCTTTGGTGAAAACCAACGCGATGCATCCAATCGGGCAAGACCGGACATCAGCTGATGCGGTAGTATACGTGTACAGGCACTATGAGCTCGCGACTTCCGAGTCGCATCTTGTGTACGTACGCGTGTACGTTGCGGCACGAGTAAGGTATCGAGGCTATTCGTTCGTTCATTAGGCCGTTGAAGGTCGCCGGTCGGCGCTGCTCCTCCTCCTCCTGACACACCGAATTATTGGAACATTAGCCTGATTGAACAAATCCGCCGAGCTGGCTGGGCTTGGCATTCTATTTTATCCTTTTTTTATTTTTCTTTCTCCCGCAAACACAGTTTTCTAGACCAAACCACCACTATGCCAATTACAAAACGCCGCGGAGCGTATCTCGATAAACAAATTGAGCTCTGATGGCCGAGAGCGCGTCTATACTGCGAATAAAAGGCTGACGGACGGAGGAAGCCAGCAGAGTGAATAATTGTCCCGGCAACGTTGGCTGATTTTAGGCTTTCGCTCCTTTCGCGTTTTTTTTTTTTTTTTTTTCCGCGTTATTGCATATTACCGCTCGAGAGCGGATGCTTGATTGGCGATCCCGTTGGGAAGGATGGAACCGAGCACACGCCAGTGTTGTTTTTTCGTCTTGGAGTAAAAAATTGCACCTTGCAGTATACTTGCTCTGGAACGATTTTCGGGCTTTTGAATAATTTCAAAGTAACGAGTTTAGTATACTTATTTTATTTATTTATTTATTTTTTTTTTCAAACCAATACACTTTCAAATATGTACAATATCATTTTCGAGTCGATTGGAAACGTAAAATCATACGAATACATACGTGTACGCTCTGCCTCTTTTTTCCGATTAAATTAAAAAACTACAGCCGTTACTTTCACCAAAACGAGTAATCGTATAAAAATACAACTGAAACATAAGTTTTCGCTAGTCGTCGAGTCATACGTTGCCTGATGTACAGCTATATTTTATACATGTACCATGGGTTTTTAGTTTTCGAAACGTGTTACATATTATCAAAATTGTTACATTATTTTTTATTTTTTTTTTCCTTCTCGTTATACATAATATATGTGTGCGATGGGCATCGTTTTTTGTATGCGTTTTCTATTTTCTTGTACACAATAGAAAATCATGTCAACTTTTTTTTTAAAGCTTCCAAACACTCGAGTACAATCATATACATATAGTATCTCAAATTGTCAGTGGTATACTTGTACTGGCAAACGTTTTGAACTACAATGTTCACAAATAAAGTGAGAACATTGCAAATATACGCGTGTGTAATATAGTAGGTACGTTATCGCCGCGGTAAACGAATTAAATTATCACTGGCTACAACATCAATTTTTGTTATCGTTTAATACAATGAACGCTCGTGTATACATGTTCACATCAACTTCTCACTCACGGGTAGTCCGGGTTTCAGAAAAATACATCGAAAACATTTTAAACAAAATTATGTACATGTTCATGATTTTCGCGTGAAAATCCGAAGAAAAAATGGATAAATAATCAGAGTTATTGGTATGAGGTCGTCTGAAAACTGCTACCGAGTTTCCACATAATCATGCCAATGAAAGTTTTAAAAATTGGTGTAACGTAAGCACGTACTTTTAAATTAATAGCGATTGGTTCGCTTTCTTTTCTTGTCATCTTTGGTAAGATATTTTCACGTTCCAACGTAAAAATCATGCCTCCACACGTAAAATTGAATATTTAATAATAGTGTACCCAAAAAGAGAATATCAAAAACACTCTCGGAGCTTCAGCTAATTTATTGGTTAATACTTGAATGTGTATATATCATGACAACCATCAATTAATTCATTAAGCTGTAACAAATTTGTTTTAGATTTTGATTGGATAAAAAATGTTTTTTTTTTTTTTGTTTTTTTTTTCTAGCACCTCTTATAAATCGGTAAGCATAATTATTGTCTAAGATATTACTTCATTAAAATTTCGCCACTTAAGATAATTCACAACGAATTTTCAGCACTAGAAAGTTCATTAACTCGAATCAATAGCGACGAAAAATTTTTGAAAGTCTTACACGTACAAATATCGCGTTTATGTCATCGTTGATTTGATATTTTCTTGACACGAATAAATAAAAGCTCTTCGAATATATATGAAGCGATTGAATACAACGTGTGCATTATTGCTATCATCATGAAATACTGCTTCGTACAATATAATTATAGTTTCAACACCATAGTATTACGAGTCCATCGATTTATAGGCCAAAGTGTGTCTAACTTGATTATATAGAAATTTTCAAATGATTGCTTTCAAACTACCAAAATAAATGATAGAGAGATACATTTTCTTTTTTTATATCTTTAATATGTGAAGCTACCACTGTTTTTATTATAAAAAATATATAGCCTAACGGAAGTACTTTTTCGTTACTAGAGTTTAAAAAAAATTCTGAAATCTAATAATTATTAGTTGAAATAGTGTTTAAAAATATTTACTCGAATTTATACGCAGGTATTCACGTAATGTAAAAAAATATTTCTAAATATTTTTTTCATACTATTTCGATTAATGTTCTAGAGATTTTAACTACTGTCTATTTTTTTTTTTTTAATTTTTCTACAAATGAATAACATTCAGGAACTGATTCAAGATTATGTTTTCGTAAATTCATCAACCACATATTGTAATAAAAAATGTTTTTAACGAATATCAAAAAAATGTCAATTACTGCATAAGTTTAGGCTGAAATTAAAATCAGACGAAAAGTCGTAAATTTTTAGTAAATCTTTAGAGTACACGTAAAGGGTTTGTATTGAAAAGGACCAAGGAGTCCTTAGAGTTTGGAAAGTTTAGAAAACAGTTACAGTTTGTACTCCAATGTTAAATCATTATCTATACCCCAGAAAAAACGTATGTACACATCCAACAAACATAAGTTTGAATCATAAGGAAAACGGGGTCAATACAAAAAAAAAAAAAAAAATCCTTTTGTTAGAATAGAAGTACAAAATAGAGGTGAATGTTATTTTTTTTCCAGTTTTGACATAGAAAAAAAAAAAAAAATGATTCCATAGCTAGGCTAACGTTGAAAATTTGGCGCATTTATTCATCAGTCACGAACGCAGCGTGCACTCACCAGATCCCTCGACAACGACACCCGAGTGGAAAACTATTTGGATACGGGCATACCGTGAACGAGACACGCTCCCAGTTACGTTCTCGACGAAAACTTGGCTTGCGAGCTCTTTTGCAAGCGTTTCTGTTCCCTCCTGTACTCCTCGATGGTCATCATGTCGATTTGCGTGTAATCCTGCCGCACAACCGGCGCTGGGCCGAGATCTGCCGCGAGTTTCATGTACGTCTCCTCGATCTGCTTGGTGATATTGTCTTGTTTATCGTTGTTGAGAGCAAACTTGGTATGCTCGTCGTCGCTGAAGCCTTCGAAACTCATCAGGTCCCTTTGCTCCTCGACCTCTTCTTGACTAATCGGGGCATTGTTAGGCTTTCGGGGTTCAACGGGTCTAGGATTTAATAACAACGGGTCTTGCGCTGAATCGGAGGACGACAACATGGACGAGGCATCGGGTAGCTGGTTGTTATTATGATTGGTATCGTTCGTACTGTTGCTGTTGTGCGATAGGGTGTCTACCCACTGAGCGACCCTCTGCAGATGCGTGTTGTCGTTCTCCTCGCTACTCATCGACGCGGATCTACCGGAGCGTGAAGAGGATTTCGGAACGTGCACCAGTGCCGTACTGGGCCTACTGCCACTGGTGTACAAAACAGTTTGGTAAGCACCCACGTTGTCCAGGAGGACATTCTTTGAGCCTGGTGTTACTCGCATCAGGCAGTTTCGAGGTCCGCTAAGCGGACGTTCTTTCTTGTCGCTGCTACTGTTGTTCGAGTGGGCCGTTTGATGATTATTGTGGTTAACAGCCACGTCGCTCGAAAGACTTGAGGGATCGGATGATGAAATGATCATGCTGTCGTTGCTCAAGCTCGGACTGGTCGTAATTTCCATCTGCACCTTCTCGCTCTGGTTGGTCAGATCATCGGAGCTTCGCACTTCGATGACCGTCAGCCTCGCCGGCTCGATTGGCTTTTCCGGAGTTTTACTGGAATTATTGCTACTGTACCTCCAAGTACGCTCGTTTATCACGTCCAGCTGGACAGGGCTTTCTTTGGTCGGTGGAAGAGCTTGTGCGCTTGTTCTTGCGCTGTTCTTCCACAATCGCTGATTTATAAGATCCAGCTTGGCTTGGTCGTCCAAAATTTTTTGCTTCTCCGACGCTTTACCTTCTCTTGGTAGACCGTTTCTTAATTTATTCGTATTTCTAAGGTTTATTTGATTATTCTCTTCTGACTTATGATTAGTGACGGCTCTCGAGTTGTCGCCATTGATGCTAAAACTATTGGTACACGCGGATTCTCTTGATCCGTATCTCACATTGACGTCGCTCGACTGTGCTCGTCCCTTGTTAGAACTAATATCACGGCTCTCGAGCTTCGACGCGTCTTTCGACCCGTTTTTCGGATTCTTGAGCTCGTTGCTATCACATTTCTTAGAGTAATCTTTAGTACTAGTAATTGCACCTTCGCTCATCTCCGTTTGGCTCTCGGTGTCGACTTTTAAAATACTACGATGACACGAGCAAGTGTTGCAATGGCGTGCGAAAATTCGATCCTTTTCTCTTTCCTCTAAAATTTTTGCCATTATAGCAGCAGACACTATATCTACAGGTGACTTGGAGTCGTCGTCACTGCTAAAGTCCAGCTTAGTAGTTACTGGTTTCGCGATATTGTAAACCATAGCAGTTGGTGGGAACGTGGATATCGGCACAGTTATACTTCTCAATTCGGTATTTGGCACTTCATTGTTATTAGGCCCTTTTTGCGAAATGTAGGCTCTGACTTTAACTTGGACTTCAGGGGGTAACTGTATTGGAAAAAAAAAAAAAAAATGATAAACGTCAAGTATTTAACAATAAAGTACATAATGCAAATACACGTAAAGATATGTTGTAAGTCAATTAATTACCGATTCGTATTTTTGTCCAACAAAGTTTAATGGTTTGCATTGGAGAAGTTGAATTGCAAGATTAACATCATTTCTATATTTTTCCTGGAAAAAGATAATTTTTATCTTTCAGCATTACGCAACAAGACGCTGCATTCATATCCTATTAGTCACACTTACATTATCCTGAGTTAACTGATGAATGGTGTAATTAGCCTCGGCCAGTCTATGGGACAGAGTAGCGATGTCCTTGGCAAAGGCACTCTTCTCAGTCTCACATTTGTCAACTATTTTCAATAGCTTATCCTCAAGACTCTGGTTGACTTTCTGTACACGCTTGTGCGCTTCGTGCAATCTGGTATATTTGTCTTCCCAGACAAATATTTCCTCCTTCAAGGATGCCAGTTCTCCATTGGGAAATTTTTCAGCTTCATTAAAAAAATGCGTCTCCATTGTCAAGATGTGGTTGTCCCTCTCAACAAGACACTGCTTCAAATTCTCTATTTCCTCATGCAGGTGCATATCGCTGAGCTTTCTCTCATTTTTGATGCATCGTTTACATGTGCAGCCACACTCCTGTAATGCAAATACATCATATCAATCAAGGTACAGATACTTATCATGTGACAGAGCTATTTCTACTTGTATGCTTAAACGGCAGTACAGCAATCTCTACAGTTTTAAATAAATAAAGTAAAGTTGAAGAATTCCAGTATATTTTACCTTGCACTTGTCTGCCATGATATATTCCACTGATTGGAAAAATAAAATGACAGAAAAAATGTAAACAACGAAGAATAATTGGCCACTGACGCGCAAGCCTCATCACCTCTGTACAGGTGTAAGTATAGTTTTATCGAAAAAGGGCCGTTTACCTGCGCTGCTCCGTTTTTTTACATCACTCCAAAATTGCCATGACACTAGAGCCAGACGATCAGACGCGTGGCAAAATTGGCAAACATTAATTCACGTAATATATGTAAGTATATGCATGCCTTTGTCATCAATGAGTAATTTCACGACACATATCTACTATATTCGCATTCGTAGGTCAAGTATTCAGGCACAAGTAAAAAATATGCAACAGTCCAGCAATGTTGGAACAAAAATTTCAAACAATTGTTAACAAATAAATACAAGAGTGTACAGAGTTTTTCTTTACAGCCACCAGCTGGACTCTCGACCACTGAGAGTGAGGTAACTAGCACGAGCACACACTTGGAGAATAACACCACCTACTTATCAGCGCTGGCTCTCGTTATCTCATCATCTGTTCATCTCGAGAGTCGAGAGTTGCTCCTCAATCTCCTCCTCTCTCCTCTTGTCTGAGCTGTACACCTATATTACATACATAAACCTTACGTCTATATGCACAATTTTACAAATTATGATTGTTATGAAACTCAGTACTGCCAGTTTGAATAAACAAAATCACCAATGAACTTTACGTAGATCGTTCGTGAAAGGCACTACAATTGCACTTAAATACTGGTTTTAGTTGCGTCGAGTTGAAAACTTTAGTATAAACTGCATATTATATAATATATATATATAAATTTATATTTATATATATTTTGTATAATCTACAATAATTATGTACTATGTACCTGGTGATTTTTTGGAGAGAGATAAGTCTGATTTCAAATGATAGGTAAGTATAGATATATGTGTCTGTCCTGAGAGCAAAAGAAGAATAAGTATAAGCAGCAGTCTGCTAGATAATATATATATTACCTATAGCTTTTAAGTGCACAAAGTGTATATGTGTATGCATGTATATATGCATACTACTACAGTATGAAAAGTGTAAATAGTAGACGCACGTGTGTTACTCCGAGTTGCAAAAATATTTTCCGTGAACAATATAAAAAGGAAAAAAAAATGGATCACAAGACGAGCAGAAGAGCGCCAAACATTTTAATTACTGGTACTTTGGTTAATTTATTGTATTTTGTAAGATTTTGAAAAAATACTTGAAAAATTGTTCATGCTTAGGCACACCCGGTGTTGGCAAAAGTGAAATGGCAAAATTACTTGCTGAACGTACAAGTTTTACATGGCTAGATGTTAGTAAGTTGGCTCAAGAACACAAGTGTTTGGATGGATATGACGAGGAATATCAGTGTCCAGTTTTGGATGATGATAAAGTGAGTTACGAAACATTTCAATGGATTAAATTCAGTAATATTTTTACCAAAATGACTAGCAAGTTATTTATTATTTTAGTTACTAGATTTAATGGAACCAATGATGAGCAATGGAGGAAAGATTGTTGATTATCATGGATCAGACTTTTTCCCTGAAAGATGGTTTGACATTGTATTTGTTTTGAGGACAAATAACACTATATTGTACGATCGTCTGGTAGCAAGAGGATACTCAGGAAAAAAGCTGCGAGACAACATTGACTGCGAAATCTTTCAGACGATTTTGGATGAAACCAAAGAATCATACAAGAAAGAGATAGTTCATGAACTACAAAGTAATGAGCCTGAAGAGACAATTGAAAATGTCAACCGAATATGTCAGTGGATTCAACAGTGGACGTTGGATAATCAAAATACTTGATCTGTCCTTTAAAAATTTTTTATTTCTTATAGACAATATATTTTACATATTTACAAATATCCATGTACATAATTATCCTATTTTATTCTACAATGCCTAGAGTTTGCTTTAATATTTTTAATCTGCTCTCTATGCTGATGTAATATTTCATCTTAATCAAAAGCTTTTTAGCTTCATCAATATTTTCTTCACGAAACGATGTAGAAATTTGTCTGAAAGTATAAGCAATTTAATATTTGTCATTAGCAAGCTTTAAAATACTTTATCACACTCTTACTTTATTAGTGAGTCTAAAATTTCTCTGTTTTTCTTCAAGAGTTCCAAAGCTTTTTCTTTATCTTCAGCAGCCTCTTCCACTTGCTCATTATTCTCCATGATTTCCATCAGGAATTCAGGTTCTAAGCTAGTTGTTTCTTCGGGTATAGAGACGTTGTGCAACTTGAGCATGTACAAACCTCTGTCTAATGGAGAAATCAGAATACTGTAAGCTTTATTGACTAGAGCTGACAAGTTTTCTGATATCTCTTTTTCTTTCTAAAAACAACAAAACATTTGGATACATTAAATAATCTCAAGGAATAAGTGTATGTAATAAATACTTTACATCTGATTTCTGGCCAAACTTATCCGGATGCAAGAGGTTTTGCAGTTGTCTGTACTTTTTTTGCACTTCATCAGTCACAATGTCAAAGTCCTTTTTAACTCCAATAATGTCAAAATAGTTTAGATCCTTGGGCAGTTTTTGCAAGGCCTTGCATTTAGAGCAAAACAATTCAGATTTGTGGGGAAAATCACATTGCCAGCACTTGGGTGGACAGTCGCTACCATGAGACAGACATTCCTGCTGAGCAATCCAGGGAGTAACTTTCCTGGGTTGTTTCGCTAACGATTGTATTTTAAGGCGTTGACTGGCATTTGCGATTGAGTAGACAAAATATTTTCTCCAAACAATCGAGGAAGCACGTATCATTTGCGAATACATGACTCGTTATCACTAAACTTTTGTACTAATTGTACTCGAGTTGTTTACGCGACGACAGTAGTTATTGTTGTAAACAAATTTTTTTTTTAAGATGTCACTTGTGGCAGCAATTGTCAATATATATATATTGCAAGTGGCAATTGGACTATTGGACACCGGTAAGTCAGCGACAACAAAACTTATTAGCTAAGAGAGTTTGTCCAAAATCCTTTGGTCACGTTTATAGGTGTTTAGTTTGACTCTTTGACTGTATTGATCAGCTAATATACCTATACATATAGCGGCTAGCAGCCGCCTTCTAAGTTGGAGTCGCAATGTTTTGAAAGTTAGGTTAAGTGTGTGTAAATGCATACAATACATATACGTACGTCGCAATCGTATGTCGTGCGTGACGTTTGTAATTTTTATAAACCTGTATAAATTAGTACCTAAACAAATAATTATCAACGTCAAGCCAATGCAATGCTACTCAACAGACTTTGCAAGGCGATCGTACATACGACGAGCTTGCGTCTCTTGGGGGCCAGCTCGTCTTTAAGCTTGAGGAGGAGCTTCGCGCTCTACTGTATGCGAAACTCGCGAAAAACAGTATTGCCCATTACGAGTAGTTTTTTAACGAGATGCAGAAACTACTCCGACGAATCCGAATCCCAGTCGGACTACGTCAAACTACCACCGTTAACCGACGACAAGCCACTCGTCTACCCGAGTTTTTTCAAGTCGTTGAGAAGCTTCATTCAAGTGTTCTTTGTTATCAAGCCCTACTTAGATATGGATTTTGTTATGAACGAGTTTTTAGAAGGAGCTAAGCAAGTGAGTTTTCAGTTTCATGAGGATCAATTTTTCTATTCTATTTTCACGCTAGTTTTCTTATTAACATATAGAATCCTCAAAAATTTGCGTAACAGGCTCTACACACAGTCTCTCATAAATTGGCTACAGAGGATTATGAAGGCCTCGAAGGCTTGGTTACACAAGATATGATAAACATTTTGAGGAATAAAATTAGCATGCTGAGTAGCGAACAAAAAGCACTTATTGCCACTCAACCAGACGATATTTATGCAATGTTTCCTTATGAAGTTGGAGTTATGTTTGATAATAACAATGGTAAAAATTACTTCTTTGCTTAGCTTTTTTTTCTATACACTCATTCATTATTTAACTTTCTAGCTGAACAGAAATTTGTGGAAATAACAGTAGTTTATTATGTTATGAAAGGTCTCAAAAAACTCAAAGAAAATCCTCAAGAAATTTCAATGCCTATAGGTATGAATCCTCAACTCAGGAGGAATGCTTTTGTCTGCAATTACAGATTTATACGTGAATTTACGAAAGGCGTAGAGTCTGCTTGGACTGTAAACAAGATTAATCACTTTATGCCCGACAATTTGGTATGTAGTAAAATTAAAACTTTCCTTGATCAATTCATTTTGAAATTCGCAATATTCTTATCAACATTCAAATAACATTTTTTTCAGTAAATAACGGAGCCGAACCTTATTTCATACTTTAGGCAACGCATTATTGTAAAAAATATTTTGTTAATTTGTTAAATAAAATACAGTTGTACAAGATCATTTGTTATTATAATGTAACTGTCACTGCATGATAAACGTAGAAAGTATACTTAAATGCACTTACTGAAAAGTTGTTTTATTTCATAATTTAGCTTACGTTGTATTATCAAATATAAAATTATCAATGCTACCATAAATTATTTCAACAATGTTATTGATTCAGTTTGCTCAAGAGACGTGGCACTAATTTGTTTACTTCTAACAACGTAGCACCTATGTAAACACCATTATCCAGTAGAGATATCACCAGTGGCCCCTGCAACACAATTAAAAAAAACTTTATCAGATGCTCGGAAGTTATTATAGTATTCTACTAAACGCTTAAAATATTACATTGTTATTTTGAGGATTGAGAATCCAGCATTTATTTTTAGTACTGCATTGAAACAAATTATTTCGTTTTGCGTGGACAGAATTAAAAAAATTTATCTCCCACTTTTCGCTCAAGTCAACCAATGAAACTTGAACTAAATTCAAGTATGGCTTTAAATACTGCGAAATCGTTGCTTTGCAGTTAATACCAGTTTGTTGAAAATGAATGTCCATAGTTATTTTGGGAAAGGACGTTATTTTCTCCAAACATTTTATTTTTTCTGGAACGTTATCTGAAGAACGATAAAAATTTTTTGAAGAAAATTGCTTTCAACTGCTTACACTTATCTCGGTGATTCATATACAGTACCTTGAAAAATTTCGTCAGTTAGACGATACGGTTTTGTCACTGTGGTTGCAAACATAGGAATCTGTTTTCGTTCCGCGCCCTTTAGCCACGTATCGATAGCTGCAAATACAACCTTCGTCAATCGTCGAAAAAATTTTAAATTACGTTTATGAAATACTCCGAAGGAGCCTTACATTTTCCTACTTGTTCAAACACTTTGGTAACCGGTATACTTTCCTCGAGATATTTGCATAAATGTGCTGCGTAAAAACCATAATTTTTACCCATACGCTCGTAGCAGGGACGATAGCTGGACGTGGAATAAGCTTGCAGTAGGTTCCTCAAATTTTTTCTACCCTTATATTCATGGATAGGCGGTACCTCCTCGTAAATCTTTGGATTGCATTCCCTAAGAAATTTTACCCATTTTCGATTCATCTAAATTTAAGAAAATAATGAAAAAAAAAAAAAAGATAAATATTACTTTAAAGGTATCGTTTGACACATGTCCAAAATAACAACGAACAAGGAGGGATCGTCCCGAAGACCCATTGATAACAGCTGACTTTCGCAAATAGCGTCTTTTCTCAGGTAATCTGTTGGAGCATCGATGGAAAGCATGTAATTCTCTTGCATTTTGAATCCATGACCAGCGAAATAAAACAGCCCTGCGAATCATACGAGACAAAAAAAGCATCATACATGTCAACTCGTAATCCAATTAATGGGTTGTAGTAAAATTTGCGGTATGTACCGTATGTCCCTTCGACCAGGAAATCACAGAATATTTTGATGGCATTATTCATTTGGACTAGCGTCAAGTCCGCGAGGCATATGGTGCGAAAGCCCAGACGGTTTAAAATTTTTGCCACCTTGGCAACATCGTTTCTTGGAGTTCTCAAAGTTTCCTGATTGTCGTAATTTTCGTTTGCAATGAGCAGTGCTATTTTTGCGACGGCCTTTTGTTTTGGCAACTCCATCTGTTGTCGGACCAATGTTTATTTGTATTCATTTTGCACGTTAAAATCAACATTTTGAATGACATTTCAAATACCAAAACGGTGCTACGCTGAGTACACTTTTCGCTGATAGGATTGATTATGTGACAGTGATATTTCCCCTCTTGTTTCGTACTAAATTGTTCTATCTAAAAAAAAAATAATAACAATAACAATAAAATTATGATGTTATCGTATTGCCATGCTTCGACACCTTTCCGATAAATCGAATAGCGCCTTACCCTCAAAACTTTCGAAGTTTGATTATCTAATCTGACGTTATCTCTGTACCATTGGTATTGCGGGGGCGGATAGCAATCGGCTTCGCAATCTAAAACCAGACAATCGCCTTCTTTCACATTTTTGTAAGGTTGCGGCTCTTTTTCTATTCTGACCGGAGTCGGCCCTATGTCGACGAAAACGGGTCGCGAACATTTTTCGTCTATCTGCTCTCCTTTATGATCGATTTGGCAAACTCGACACTGATACAGACCTCTTTGACTCACGCTGGAATGGTTGAAAATTTCTTGATATAATTTTTTTTTTTTTTTTCTTCTTTGTTACGTTTATTTAAATATTACGGGTCGAAAATCTTTGTTTTACTGACGAGTGAATGGGAATGTTTAGTTCGTCGGAGGTTTCTCCTTCCAACGTAACATTTTCATGATACCACTGATAAACAGGGGGTGGTAAGCCTTGTGCCTTGCACGTGAGTGAAAGCTTGTGGCCCAGAGAAACGATTAAATTATTTGTACTATCATCGACATCTGTCACGATTTTAAGAAGTTCTGAGGAAAAAAAATGTCATATTTTTCGTTGTAGCGTAAATTTTTTTTTTTTTTTTTTTTTTTTTTTTTTCAACTAATGTACCTGTAGTATGTATTATTGACAGGACGTTGTTTAGATTACAATTTTCCAGTAACGTAGAAAGAATGCCAACTGTGCACAGTCTGATGTTCAATTCTACTAATAATTTACTAGCCGGGGAATCATTTTGCGTATTTTTGTTTTCCAAATTATTTATCCAAAAACTAAAAAAAAAATTGTTTTTAAATTGTTTTTAAGTATGAAAAAAATATACTCCTGTAAATTTTTACCTCGTAAAGTCAAGTTTTTCTGCTACATATTGCGCTAGAGTTTTCCAAGAGTTGTCTTTGTTCAACAAACTAACTATGCCTTCGTAGACATCCAAGGGTAGTTGTTCAAGACTCAAGTCTTCATTATACTTCAGCATGATCAGATGTGTCTTATATATCTCTAGTAGATACTTTTACATAATTTTCTTTTATTAAATATCATAATTAACACATCGAGTCCTCCTTTTCTTTGCATCAAAAGTACGCATTATTGCACATATACACGTACTGAAAAGCTGAAATCGAAGCAGAAATCTCAACTTTTTTTTTACTTTCAATTTCTTTCAGAGTTGTTATTTGCATTGCACGTATATTTTATATGTAACGTACAAGTTTTCTTAGTAAACCTTTTCGATAAAATACTTTTAATCAATATTTAGGCGAGGCCTTGTTATTTACTCTAATGTTTTTGCAAATGAATCGAGTGGACAAATATTTTTATACCAATGCATGGTTAATTAATTAGTCGTAACAAAAAATTCGGAGAAATAATACTTAGTAAAAAGAAACCATGTCCGTAACCTTCCCCCCTTTCATGGTTCCAAGAAGTTACATCAGCCTCTACCACCCCTTGAACAGTTAATAAATACCGATATAAATACTTATCCCTATTTCACAGGAATACTTTTCAAACGTCCACAATAATTGGTGGCAAAGCAAACCTCATTGAAAAGTTCTTGTGCACATTATACACCACCATGACGCAACATTGTAACAATATTCATGCTAAGTACCCCAACAGAAAGCGAACTTTGAAATAGCTCCGCGTTTTGGTGTACAAGCTTGTAAAATGGCATATACATATAGGCAAGGTATAAGTACATATTGTAGTCGATGATTCGATGTTTTCGGAGCAGGAAAACAGTGGATAAAACACAATCGTGTTCGCAATGTAATTCAAGTGTAGCGTCACAAGTAAGAGAAGTGTGTGTTAATCCAACGTTTCCCAAAAAGCATAAGTTTCGTTAGTTGAGATAACGAAAATGAAATGAAGTAAGTATGTGAGCAGGTATAAAGAAAAAGGTGAAAGTCTATTATCTCTGCAATACGAACACTTACGTATACGTACAGATAATGCGCAAGTGCGTGATGGTGGTGCATCTGAGATCTCGTCGATCTCTCGATGGTGCAGCAGCAGTGGCGCTGCTTCTGCTATACTGCTCTATACTGCTGAAAAGTAATCATTGTACACTGCGTCTGCGTGTTGTGTATTTTGCCCTCTTATTCCTCTCTCTCTCTTTTCTCCACCTCCTCAAACTGAACATCCCGTGTGTCCCGTATTTTCCGTGCAAGGCTTAGTTGTGTTTTAGCCTCGGAGCTTCACCGTCCACGTGTGCCCACGAAGACGCTGCAGTCCAGGTCTTGGTCGTATCATTAGGATCGCGTGTCTTCAAGGCTAGTAGCCATCCTCACGCGTCGCTTGTAGAAGTAAAAAATAGTTTTCCCGACAATTAAATCAAGCGCGGGCCTGTGCAGGAGGTCTTTTTTTTTAAAAACCGTGGCTCAGGAATAAGAGGAGAGACACTCTACTTACATTACAGAGAGTGTGTGCAGCGTCGCGCAACGGTGCGCGTGAGAGAAGAGAGAAGAGACATTCAGAAAAAGGGAGAGAGCTCAGAGAGCTAGCCTGCCACTATTACAGACAGAGTGTACACTGTACACACACATAGGCCGAGAACGGGACGGTTTTGTGTGCTATAGGCGCTCTATACACACTCTTTTGCGAGGGGGGGGCAGTAGCTGCTGCTCCTAGCTATTGCTTGCTGATAATATATATAGTTACAGAGTCTCCCCGCGGAGATGCCCGTTGCGGTGCCGTCGTTGTTGCTGTTAACACCGTGTCCAGGACGTCGTCACAATGGTCGACTAAAAGTGCGTGATCCGAGGTGCCAGTGCCATCAGCAAACTTTCTTGTGGTAGCCCTCCAGCTTAATATTTCATCAATCATTGTGATTACCATATATATATATATGTGTGTGTGTGTACGTGTATGTGGTGCGTTTGGTGCGAGCAGTCACTGATGCATGACACGCGACGACACACCAAAGTGTTTTGGCCTCCGCGTGAGGAAAATAAAAATCGGAGCATAGCATCATTAGCTTTTTTAAAAGGTAGTGCAACGCGTGTGTCGCGAACGAGTAGTAATACAAGGAACATTGAGAGAGCCCGTAGGGGTTGTCGGATATGACCAAATAAACTTAATACAAGTGTCGAGTCGAGAGAAAAACTTTTATGCCACCCGGTGATGGTGGCCAAGTGAGAGCTGCAGAGTAGCAGGGTGCGTTCATATATAGCCGTGTAGGATTAACAAAGGCAAAAACAACATGGTCTCGAAGCCGCAGCAGCAGCAACACGGCCCGAGTGGCAGCAGGTACGGAAGCTCCTTGATGAGCAGCGGGGGCAGCAGCAGCAGCAATAACACGGCCAGTTCGACAATCGGCTGTAGCAGCAGTTTTCCTACCTGCAGTAGCTCGACGATGGCAGCTCAGCGCGAGGAGTTTGAGTTCAAAGCGCCACCCGAGGCGCCCGTCTTCGAGCCGACGAGCGAGGAGTTCCTCGACCCTCTCGGCTACATCGCCAAAATACGGCCGATCGCCGAGAAATCCGGCATCTGTAAAATCAAGCCCCCGCCCGTGAGTAAATTATCGCTTTCGTTGCTAAGTGATCAATCTTTCCTTCCTTCCTCGATTTTTTGTTCTCTCTTTCTCTATACACCCCTGAAACACCACTCGCGTGAACATCTTGCGAAAGTGTTGGGCCCTTTATCGCGTGTACATTTTAACGTTACTCATCGGCAAGAAAGAAAGAAAAAAAAAAAAAAAAAAAAAAAGAGCGACAAGTACAATGGGAGACCTCGTGTCTGCAAAAGCTGGTTCTTCTTCTTCTGCCCCGTGTACCTCCTTTACCTATCGACCTTTCACTTGAATCATCATCCACTTCCGCATTGCCCCCCCCCCCCCACACCACATCGCCGCCCTCGTATAATTGTTACAATTGCAATTTTATGGTGTTTGTTGAGCTAAATTGCAAATGCTTCCCGTCCAACATTGCAAACAGCTTGCACAGAACCGGAGATCACGTCAATTTTCCATTACGCGATCATTTTCCAGTAAGTTGCGGTGTGCGCGCTTCGTTAAGTACTCGTCGTCGTCGTCGTCATCGTCGTCGCCGCGTCTCATGTACTCATACTAGAAAAAGAGAGAGAGACAGAGGGAGAGAAAGAAAATTTCAATGGCTGGCCAGTAGGCTAGCCAATTTATGATGAGCTAGCTAGCGCCTGAGGCTCGACGTGACACTCGTCGTAGCTCGTGCCCAGGATTCGATATCCCCTCTGATGCAAGCACGTAAAGAGCCGTAAAGTGATACGTGTGTAACCAGCGGATCGGCAAAAAAAAAAAAAAAAAGGAGCCGAGGGTTTAAAGGGATCGTCGATGGAAGACTCGCGCAATATATAGAGTGCTATACATACGTGCATTGTAGTGGACAATAAATCCGCGCTCCAAGCCTTTGGCCTAGTTATGTAAGAAAACATGAGAATTTCGATGGGCGTCATTAGGACGTAGATGGGTGCACACGCGACTTGTAAAACGCTAACAATTGTACGATTTAATCGAGGGGTGGCATTTTTAATAGAGATGCGAGGGGGCTTTCTTTTTCGACAATCGCCCACAGCGTTCTAGGAATCCATGTGTACCCATTAGTTTATCAGCCAGCCGCGATGCAACGATGACGAAAAAAGAACGCTTGCTGGGGGTCCGTGTCGCGAGCACTAGGTGCACCAGCTACAGTACTCTCTACCCATTTATCTGTACCTACTACTACACGGCCATCGGGCGAAAGTTGCGTTGCAGCTAGTGAAGTGATAAATATGTAGGTATAGAGACTCAGGGTTTTCGGGGCCGTACTCTTTCACACACGTTTAAGCGTAAACGTTACTTATACGCTGGTGTACCTACATTTGCAGTAAAAAGTGAATAATAAAACGATAACCATTGCACATCCTAACTTGTTCACGTAGGCGTCGCCGCCGCCTGTCTCTCGCGCTCGGTCGGACATCATCAGAACAGCAGAGCCGAGAGTCAACTCTCTCTATCTCTCTCTCTCTTTTTTGCTCTACCGTCAAGCGGAGCATGCAGGAGTATACATAACTTAGGTGCAGCGTTCGGTTCCTTGGCAGGTATCCCTTTTTAATGCTCTCCTAGGAGTCCTGGGACCTCTCTCTGTTTCTGCTCTGTCTGTTGCCGACTCTCTTTGTTTCTTCCCCCCCCCCCCACTTTGTGCTTATACTTTTTGCCAGAGTGATGTCGTTCATTTCTCTCTTTTCGGTGTAATATTTGCACTTGATTCTCGGATCGAATTAGGTGCGCTGTTCAATCATCACGATGATCTCGTGGACGACTCCGAGGTGAAGAAAAAAAATAAAATGAATAAAAAATAAATAAAAAAAAGTGAGTACTGAGCGATGATGAGGTGAAAAAAGGACTACTCGCACCTGCTGTTTCCGTAGCGTAAATATATTTATACAATATTCGTAGGATAGAAAGCATCAGACGGAAGTGAATAAAAGTTCGCCGCATAAACGACTCTCTCTCTCTCTCTCTCTCTCTCTCTTTCTTTCTCATCGCTTACCTATCGATCGACATTCGTCAAAGACGCGGCTCCAATGTCCGCTTATGTGATACGATTTTGCAATCGCCTTGTACTTATTTATCATATACGTACCTAAGCAAGTAGTCATCACTATCTCCTCCCCGATAATTCTGTATTTGCATGTACTTGATACCTGATACGTTACGTTTCAACTTGGCTGTCGTCCTCTCCCTTTCGGGGGTAGGTACGAAATGTGCGTGTATAAAGGACGCGCGGGTGTGGGTACAGTGGCAGCGTTTTTTCCGTATGCCTTACTTTAATGGACGTGTAAATACCCTTTACGCAGGCGACGACGTCTTCCTCTCGCGCGATGACTAAATAAATACTCATTCGACGCCATTTTCGAGCTTCAATATCATTCAGATACGCTATTTTGTTTCGTTTTCTCTTTTATATGTGTCACACGTGTACAGAAAAGTTGGATTGTCGGGCTCAATGACTTTTTCCGAAAGTTGTACTTGCTGTCCTTTTCTTCTTTCTGTTTTTTCGTAGATTTCGAATTTTCACTTTACGGCCCGTAGAAAAGAATTGTATCAACTTTAATTTTACACGTAAGCCAGGAACTATTATTACATACCAGTTCACGCGAGTAATCGTATTTATTAGCAAGTCCCTTTGCACCGGAACACGATATTTTTGCAATTTCGGAGCATACGGCGATTCCGTTGTGCTGACGCAATTTCCATAAACATTGACATTGGAAAGTATTGAAGACCATTTTATAAAAATACTTTTATCCCTTTTTTCTTCGATTCGTGTTGAAATTTGTGATGGTACTTGTCAACGAAAAAAAAATTACATGCAATTAGTGCTAACAATTACGTTGATGCTACAAAATTTGGAATCGATTCCATTGAAGGCAAACTGAAATCAAAATAAATGTCCATTAGGATTGAACCCATTGTTAAAATCAATTATCAGCAGAAAGTTGTTGGTTATTACTTTGAAGGTACAAAATTACCATTGAAGGTTGCGCACCTCGATCCTCCCTCTACATATTATACCTGCACCCAAATCACACATTTTTTACGGAATCCATAAGTTAGATAGCTCCGTTAGTTTAGTAAAGAAACAAAAAATTAACTTTTATTTTTTGCTTGACTTACCGTAACTGAAAGTACTAAATATGAAAAATATTCTGCAGAACTGGCAGCCACCATTCGCTGTAGATGTAGACAAATTCAAATTCGTACCTAGAATACAAAGGCTAAATGAGCTAGAAGCAAAAACTAGGATAAAATTAAATTTCTTGGATCAGATAGCAAAATTTTGGGAACTCCAAGGATCTTCGTTGAAAATCCCATTGGTTGAACGTAAAGCTCTAGACTTGTATTCTCTGCACAGGATTGTAACGGATGAAGGTATGATTATACTTTGTTAGACCAAATAAATTGCCAATTACGTTAACGCTCGTCACGACTACGTATTTTTGTTATTTTAAGGTGGAATCGAAACCGTAACAAAGGAAAGAAGGTGGGCCAAAATCGCTAACAAATTGGGCTATCCTTCTGGACGCAGTGTTGGGAGTATTCTTAAAAGTCATTATGAACGAATTTTATATCCATTCGACGTCTTTAAACAAGGAAAAACTTTAGCCGATATCGTAAGTCGCATCAAAAATTATTCGGCAGTAAATTGAATAATAATACATCACTCAATTTTCGATCCAACTGATTTTATGCGATTTTTTTAAGAAAATCGAACCCGAACCTGATGAAAATGAAAAGAAAGACAGGGATTACAAACCACACGGTATTATATCACGACAGCAAATTAAACCACCGCAAGAAAAGTTTTCGCGACGATCTAAGCGTTTCTCTGGACAAGACGAGAAACAAAATGGATGCCAGACGAGTATCAAACAGGAGGATTGCAAAGAGGAACCTGAGGTCGATTGCAAGGAGACTGTCAAAGAAAAAATCAAGAATGGCAAGGGCAAGCAGAGCGTTAGTGTCGAAATGAAGGAAGTCAAAGGCAAGTCAAGATTTTTCGCACTCAGTGTTGCAACTTTGATAGATTCGGTGTTATAATTATCAATATTTTTTCTACAGTTAAAACAGAAGTCAAGGATGGTGTGAAAACCAGAGGTTCAGAAAAAGACAAAGAGAACAGCAAGGAACTCAAGAAGCTACAATTCTATGGGGCTGGACCAAAGATGGCTGGTTTTGTAAACAAGGAACCAAAAAAATCAAACAAAACCAGAGGAATCAAACTTATTTACGAATTTGATCCAGTACGAGCTAATTATACTTCAGATCGACGTAAAAGTCTTCTCGATGCTCATTTAAAACATTTCTTTCAGCTCGCAAAGTACATTTGCCACAATTGCACGAAAGGTGACAATGAGGAAAATATGCTTTTGTGCGACGGATGTGACGATAGTTATCACACCTTTTGCTTGTTACCACCGCTCACGGAAATTCCAAAGGGGGATTGGCGATGTCCGAAATGCGTCGCAGAAGAAGTGTCCAAGCCCATGGAAGCTTTTGGATTCGAGCAAGCTCACAGAGAGTACACTCTGCAGCAGTTTGGAGAGATGGCGGATCAGTTTAAGAGCGACTACTTTAATATGCCTGTTCATGTAAATTGATTTTTTATTTTATTTTTATACTTGTAATATTATAATCATATAAATTTTTTCTAGTGAAATTAAAAAGAAAGTTTGATTCAATTTTTTGAGCAAAAATTTGTATTCTTGTAGATGGTACCAACTAAAACGGTCGAAAAAGAATTCTGGAGGATTGTCTCTTCCATTGATGAGGACGTAACTGTTGAGTACGGCGCAGATTTACATACAATGGATCACGGGTCTGGTTTTCCGACAAAGACGAGTGTTAATCTTTTTACTTGCGACCAAGAGTATGCCGAGTCTTCGTGGAACCTAAACAACTTGCCAGTATTACAGGGAAGCGTTTTGGGGCATATTAATGCTGACATTAGTGGAATGAAGGTGCCATGGATGTATGTAGGAATGTGTTTTGCCACTTTTTGTTGGCATAATGAGGATCACTGGAGCTACTCGATCAACTATTTGCATTGGGGTGAACCCAAAACCTGGTATGGCGTACCTGGCACAAAGGCCGAGATGTTTGAACATTCTATGAAATCAGCAGCTCCAGAGTTGTTTCATAGTCAGCCCGATTTACTTCATCAATTGGTTACCATAATGAATCCTAATATTTTAACTAGTGAAGGTACATATCGACTTGGTAGATTTCATAGACATTCACTTTTTTTAATATTAAAACTATTTTATGTATTCATTGCAGGAGTGCCGGTATATAGAACCGATCAGCATGCAGGTGAATTCGTAGTCACTTTTCCAAGAGCTTATCATGCTGGTTTTAACCAGGGCTATAACTTTGCCGAGGCGGTAAATTTTGCTCCTGCTGATTGGGTAAGTTAATGAAAAGTACTTTTTTATCGCTAGTAAAATTATAATATTGTGATTGATCAATTTGTGCTTAAAAAATTTCAACAGTTGCGAATTGGTCGCAATTGTATATCACACTATTCGAAATTGCGACGATTTTGCGTATTCTCCCATGATGAGTTGGTCTGTAAAATGTCTTTGGAGCCAGAGAACTTGGATATTGGGATTGCTACTGCAACTTATCATGACATGCTTACTATGGTTGGTGATGAGAAGAAACTAAGGAAGAATTTATTAGAATGGGTAAGTTTGGATATTATGTGTCAAACGTAATTAAAAATATGTGAGTTTCTCCCTATAAAACTTGATACTATATAACTTGATACTTATGAACATACATGTATTAAAGGTAATATTATGCGATTGTTGATTTAGTGGCCAGTGTGCTGACAAGGAAAATTAGTTAAAGTAATGGTGCGTATTTCGGTCGGAAAAAGCATTCGATTTTGCTGGACAAATTGAAGGTTAAGTAGCGAAAATTTTCGATTTTTCACTCATTTTAAAAAATCATTTGAAAAATGGTTAAAAAGGATGACATTTTTTTACGGGTTTAACTGTGATATGTACCTATCAATGTCATCCGTTTTTATAACTTTTAACCTTTCAACCCCTGTAGTCCGTACGTTTCAGATAAATATTTTTTTAAACAATATTTGGCAGGTGTACTTAAATGCTACCGCCCTTCCATTCGGTTTCTAAACAAATTTTATTTTTATTTCCACCTCCACCCTTTTTTCCAGTTCCATCCATTTTGGGGTTATGAGCTAAATACCAAGAGTCATCCGGTTGCTTCTTTCCGACTGAAATGCGCACCATCGCTTTAACTCTAACATTTTAAAAGTTAGGGATTCGATTTTTATCAAGGGCTTTGATTTTTTCAGAAAAAAATTCAACTTGGTTTTAAGTATGAGATTTTTTTTTTCGTTTGCTGCTATAAGCCAGAAAAATGTAGAATCAAATATCAGGCATAGATAATTAGGGATAAAATTTCGATACATGCTAGGACTAAAAAAATTAGTATAAGAATAAAAACAAAATAGGTGGAGTAAAGAACTAACTAGTAACAGAAAACAATAGAGCAAATGGCCCCATTGAAGACTAGCACAATTTCGAATTTTCTGTGTAAAATAACATTGATCACCACTATGCGGGTTACACCCCCAGCACCTAGCACCATAGCAACGATTGTTTGGGTGTCTTTCTACCCGCAACCGGGATCGGAAGTTTCGTCACCAATCATTTAAACGTACGAAATGTGTTACCAAGTCAGATTCCCTGTATCAAAATACTTTAAGATGTTCTAGGCTTTATTCTTTTTCCTGTATGGTAAGAAAAATTGGTGAGAAATTTTGAAAGAAAATCAAAATTAAAGATGTATGTATAAAATGAGCTCCAATAAGAGTATAGAAATTTATCAGTTTTCAAGAACTTTCATAACTTATACAAATCGGGATGAAAAATCGGTAAATGCCGCTCATACAGCATTGTCTTGAATTATAATCAATTTTATTTTTAGGCACAACTGTTTTTAAAAATTCACTTTTCCATTTATTTATTTTTTTTTTAACCACTACCCTTTTCTACTTTTGTTTTTACCCTTATCTATGCATGCAAAAGCTATTTTTTTTTTTTTTTTTTTACAAAATTATGAATGTGGGTTCAGTGAAGTCAAATGACGCACTAAGAATCATTGTATAAAAACAGCAATTGTAAAAGTAACATTTGCTAAAGAGTAGAAGAATCACAAAACCCTCTTGTAGATGAACAAAGAGTGTAATCATAAACAAGTTTTTCTGCGATGGTAAAAAAATTAGTAACTTAAAATCAAAAGTTGAGTAAGTTTATAGATGGAAATTAAATCACGATACCCTTATGCGAAAGTAGAGTAATTGTTTTTTATGAATAATTTTTAAAAATAATATTTTTATAACTGGCAAGCGACAGTATGATTATTCATGTACTGGATGATGGTTTGCAAAATATTTCCGAAACAAGAGTACATGAACTAAATACATAAGTAAAATATCTCATAATAGAATTCTAGTTTCTTTAGCAGTTTTAAATAAATAATCCATTTATGTACAAAAGTGTAAATACCTATGTATGTATGTGGACGAAAGTCAAAAAGTTGTGAGATAAAATTTAAAATGGATGAATTTTTTTTATGAATAATTTTACATGTTATGCATAAATCAATCAGTATTGGTACTATCAAACATAGGTAAGGTATATACTAGAAGCACGCAGAGTAAAAGTAAACGGTACAAGTAAACCTAAGTATGTTCGCTATATAAATATATGTTTAAAAAAAGAGCACACGGCTTCTCAAGATCTCAAGTCATATGTAGATCGGTTAAAATGGTTTGTTGATCATATTCGTTAAGTAAGGAAAACGAATCCACCAATTGAAGGAAGCTATCTTGTGCGTTTAGCCAATCAGAAAACCTTTTATACTTAATTCAAGAACACCATGCTCGTCGAGAAAAACCTGTATTATGCCACTATGTGACGTTTTAAAACGAGAGTAAGCTAGACTACGCGTCGAACGCGAGAAAAAGTTAGTTTACACACGTGCATCACGAAACGAGAGAGTAAAAGAGAAAAAAAAATTGTAGCCATGTTTGTACGCAACAAGCATACGCCACACACGAATCCTCGTTCGAATAAATATCCACTGCCCATAAATAACATCCGTCGTTAGTGACCAAACGGTGAACCCTTTTTTTTTAATTTAAAGAATTCAAACTTAGTGATACTTTTGTCCACGCGTGCACCATTTTGCGTCCAACTTGTCCACAGTATCTACTCCTCTGCCGTCGCCTGTATACCTATATATACATCTCTCGCATTAAATAGACAAGTGTCCGCGGCCCGCGCGCGGAACAGTCAAACATTTTTTCGGTTTGGAATAATTTAGGGACTCGGAGGATTTATGATCTTATCTTTGCTTAGGCTTAGCACACACTACCTACAGGTACTTAACAGGAAAAAAGATACTTAGTAAATATAAATTTGGATATTGAAATGTTGGAATTCAGAATGGTGTGGAGTAAACGAAAGTGCTTTGAGTGCTTTCACTTATCTCCTCGATTCCACAAACCATGTATATAATACAACTTTTTTTGGTTGAAAAAAAGAAACACTGCAAAGCCTAACTAACCTTCAGTGAAATAGTTACTTATATAGTATGGCTGCCAACGCGCACAGCAGCAGAGTGTATCTGGTGTCCGCGTACTCAGCCTCGGCGACCTTATTTTCAAGTTTTGATATTTCACGTCGTTTCATTATGTAACTCGTATCGTTTCCCTCTCGCAGGGCGCAGTAAAGAGAGATTGGAAGGAAAAGAAAAAAGTGAGAGCGCGCGATAGGTTATGTTTGGACACACACAGAGGCGGGCTCTTTCTCTCTTTTTTATATTCTCGTACGTCCATCCATCGCAAGTTTGCAAGCCAAGTATCTAGTTGTGTGCGTATACCTATCAAGTGCCTATAAAGCTGCGCCGTGCTTGATCGCAATGATCGCTTACAGATGCTAAGTTCTCAGTAGGTATAACTCTTCACGTCACACTATTAGGTAGTGTTTTTAGAGAAGCTGCAGTTTGGTGAACATCCGAGTGCGACGTACAAGTATTTCTCGTGTGCTCGCGCGCGTCTGCCCGGCCCCCACAGCTGCTCGCTGATTACGACGATATTCGAGGCTTTTTCCGTCAAATTGTTTGCAAAAAGAGATACATTTGTGCATTCACTTTTTCGCCTCAACCTCGAGTACATACCAATATTATTGAACTAGAGTCCGAGTCGGGTCGTCGCGGTGTGCTGTTGTTGCAGCTGTGAAGACTTTGAGAGGGAAAAAGTTTCGGGTTAGTTGAATAGAAAATATAATTAAATGGACGCTCGTAATTTGTGTGTGCCTCATAAGTATTTGTAATAATAAAATCTGCTGATGCAGTTACTTAAAAGTGGCTTGTGAGTGAGTGAGTTTTCCTAAAGCTTGACGCACGAAACTTGATAAAAACTACGTAGGTGCTCGTATACCCTCTGCACTGTGGGTATATACTCTCCTTCCCTCCCTCCCCCTTGCCCTATTAACAAGATTCCTGTTGGATTTATCGTTTGCGTTCAACAAACACAAGTGTACATCACACAACCAGGTATACCTAAACAGATTTCCTGAAGTTCTGACGAGCATAAACTCGCCAACGTCCTCAATACTCGGATCTTGAGTCAGAGATTAAGATATTGAGTGCAATTTGAGGTTATCCGAGGCAGAGACTTGGCTTGCGTGTGTTACACAATGTTTTCATGAAATTGCGTTAAGAGAGAAATGTAAAAATTAATTGCGAGCGATTGAACTATCTGTGTTTCGTGAGATTAAAAAATAATGGTTAATATTTTCATTGTTGCCAGGGTGTCACGGAAGCGGAGCGCGAAGCTTTTGAACTGTTGCCCGACGATGAGAGACAATGTGAGTCGTGCAAGACTACATGCTTCTTGAGTGCAGTGACCTGTTCGTGCGATAAATCACAATTGGTCTGTTTGAGGCATTTCACCGAGCTTTGCGAATGCCCACCCGAAAAGCACACTTTAAGATATAGATACACGCTCGACGAACTTCCAATCATGTTGCAAAAGCTCAAGCTTAAAGCTGAGTCGTTTGACTCTTGGGCCAGCAAGGTTAAGGAGGCCATGGACCCCAAGGGTGAAAAAATTGAGTTGAACGAGTTAAAAGAGCTCCTGGATGAAGCACAAACCAAGAAGTTCCCAGACAGCGAGTTACTCACTGCCTTGACAACAGCTGTACATGATGCTGAAAAGTGTGCCAGTGTTGCCAGACAGCTGCTCAACAGCAAACAGAGAACAAGGTTGGTTGTCTTTTGAATTGAGGTTATGTTTTGATGATGTTAGCTTTCTACAATGTGCAGGTAGTCTAAAAATAGATTTTTTTTTTCTCTTCAGAACCAGGCAGTCTGTGGAAACCAAGTTTAGGCTAACTGTAGAAGATTTGACTTTATTCTATCAAGAAATATCAAATCTCTGCTGTGAACTTAAAGAAGCAGAAGGGGTCAAAGCAATACTTGATCAGGTAGTGCAGTTTCAAAATGATGCTAAAAAATTAGAGCTTGATGAAGATTGTGATATTGATCAACTTGAAAAATGTATTGAATTCGGAGATGCCATTAGCATTGATTTACCACAACTTGCAGAGTTGAAACAGGTAGGATTCTCGATAGCATGAATGTACATACATATTTTTTATGTAATTGAGATTGTTTTAAACTTCTCATCATTTTACAGAAATTGATACAGCTTCGCTGGTTAGAAGATGTCAAATCCATCAAGGATGAACCTAAAACAGTTACCAGGCAGGAATTAGTGAAACTCATAGAAGAGGGTATGAATATTCCTGCACATGCCAGTATCGAAAAAGCTCTAGCTGATTTACAAAATTTGATGATCAGCATTGATAACTGGGAAGATAAGGCAAAACTTTACCTTCAGCCATCCAAAAATAGGCAGTCGATTGAGTCTGTTGAAAAACACATAGCGGAAGCTGACAATATTGACGCATTTTTGCCAGGATTGAGTAATCTGAAAGATGTCTTGAATAAAGCTCGAAATTGGACCAAAACTGTTTCAGAAATGCAATCTAAAGAAAATTTCCCCTATTACGACACATTAGACGAATTGGTACGCAAGGGCAGGACCATACCATTGCATCTTAGTTCACTTCCAATTCTTGAATCAACCATAGCTCAAGCGAAGCTTTGGAAGGAAAAAACGGCAAAGACATTCCTTAGAAAAAATTCTCCATACACCCTTATGGAGGCGCTTTCTCCTAGAATTGGTATTGGAATGCATGCCATGAGAAATCGTAAGAGCAAGGGCGATGACTCCATTGGTGCGGTATACGTTTGTAAAACAAAATTAGACGATTCCAATGATTCCGCCACTGTCGTCTCTGCATTCAAGCATGCTGAACAGCGTGAAATGGAGGCTATGAAAAATTTACGAGAAATGAACATCAACAAAATGCACGCTGATGACTCGAGGTTTTGTGTTTGTCGCCAGCCCAAGTTTGGTCAGATGTTGCGATGTGAACTCTGCAAAGATTGGTTTCACAGTAAGTTTGCTACCATCACTGTTAATTGTTTCCTTGTGCTCATTTTTGCATCAATCGATTTTATTTTTTTATTTACTTGCAGTGAATTGTGTACCAGTTCCAAAAGCTTCGTTAAAGGGTGACAAGCAGGGTCCAAAATTGAGCAAATTTTTGTGTCCGTGCTGTTCACGCTCGCGCAGACCTCGTCTTGAAACAATTCTTACTCTTTTAGTAAGTTTGCAGAAAATACCCATCCGTTTACCCGAAGGTGAAGCTCTGCAATGTTTGACAGAACGTGCAATGAACTGGCAGGTAAATGTCGTAGTTCTTGATAAGTCCTAACAATATTTTTCAACGTTTAAAATATGATTTTTTTTTAAGGATCGAGCGAGGCAAGCTCTAGCTACCGATGAAGTCTCTTCAGTGTTAACAAAAATTAGTATAATAACGCAAAAATTGACTGAAGCCGCTGCCAGAGAAAAGACGGAAAAAATAATAAACACTGAATTGAAAAAGGCTGCAAATAACCCAGAACTTCACCAAAGGGTTCAAGCTATTGCTTCATTAAGTGGCATACAGTCGGATGACAGCGTTGTCAGCGTTCTCGTAAGTTTCTTAGTTATTTTAGAGTTGAATCTTTCGTGTATGGGAAAACTAAGTATTGTTATGTTTACAGGATGAAGAAGATAGAATAGATTTAGATGATGATGATGATGACAGTGACAGTGATGATGATGTCTTAACCATTGACGAGGATGAGCCAAGTGGGAGTAACTTTAACAACGAGCACGCATATTCATCAGGTATGTTGAATTAATTACAATTGTATGATTCAATGATTTTTCTTCTCAATAACCAAAGTTTTTATTTATTTAGCATCCAAATTTAATTCTAAATTGTTAGCCGACGAAAATAAGGAAAAAATAGTATCGTTGTCTAACGTTACCATTAGCCGCTTGGAGGATCTCATGATGGAAGGTGATCTTTTGGAAGTGGCTTTGGAGGAGACTGAGCATATCTGGCGAATTCTTAGTCAGACAAACGTTGCCTCGACGAAAAGCATACGCAAATATGCACCGCTAGATCAATCTCCTGCTGTCGAAACGAAAAAACAACCTCAGCAGAGGGGCCGAAAACGAAAGTCAGACGAATTTGACGTGATGAAAAAATTCGGTCGACAGAGGACAGAAGATAAGCCTACTGTCAAGCGTAAGGGGTTGAACAAGGATACAAAATCACCAGCCAGCACCGGGATGAAGCGAGGACCGCGCAAAGTACGTTTTATTGATGAAACTAAAAAAGACTGAATTCGATTTACGCAGCCGTATTAATAAATATCATATTTTATAGATAAAGCGGAAAGACAATGAAGAGACACCCAAAAAGAAAACAGGAAACAGAAAAAAGACAAAGCAAGATACGTCCGATGAAGAAGAGGACTGTGCAGCTGAAAAATGCTTGAGACCCAATGGTACTTCAATCATTTCATTAAACATTGTATTACGTGAGTTTTGGTCATAGAATAAAAATGTTGTTAATATTCGTTACAGGTCGCGAAGTAGATTGGGTTCAGTGTGACGGGTGCAATGGATGGTTCCACATGCACTGTGTCGGCCTGGAGAAAAACGAGCTCTCGGAAGAAGACGATTTTGTCTGCATTAATTGCACGGAAGCTAATTCTTCGGTACGAATCGATAAGTGACAATGCTTAAATTTAGAGTTGTATTATTTGTCTTGCTCGAGCAAACTTAATGATGGTCTGTCAATTTGAGTTGATGCGTGTTAAGCACGTTGTTGTAAATTGCACATAATCTAGGCGTACCGTATTATTTGAGAAAAATAATTACCAAAAAACCAGAATAGAATTAAGAACAAACTTCTTCCTTGGCTGGCCTGATTTATTTTTAATTTTAGATTGGATGTTTATGATTTATTTTTATTTCTTGTATAGAAGTCAAATCCTTTTTTTATGGTTTTCAATTCACTCTAATCCCATGTTCATGAAAAGATGGAGAAACTGCATGTTCCTAGATAGACAGCTGGAAGTTAAAAGGACGACGAGATGATGCTTGGAACGTGCTTTCGAAAGTTCAGAGTACAAGGTGCAATCACTGCTGTTTTAGTTGCATTATGGGATTGGATGTTAAAAACGTGCACATAGATGTATATATTTACTAAAATATACAGTTTAATATTTAGTACCGAGAAAGAAAAAAAAAATCGTGAAAATATAAGTATGGACGCATGTGTTTACTCTTTCTCAGAGTCAGCAGGATTGTCACTCGTCGCAGTCGTCGCTCGCCGAGTTGACAGATGACGAAGACGATCTGATGTTGATCAGACATGATGGCCAGCAGACGGAGTTCTCAGGCTCCGTCGCACGGTGGCAGCGGCTCGCCAGGGAGAAAACAAACTCCTCAGCGGACACAAATGCTGCTGCTGCTGCTGCTGCTGCTGCTACTGCTGACGTCTTTTTGCGCGCTGACTCGCCTGAGATGTAGTGTACACATTAATTATATCGATCCTTACACAAATGTAATTATTTAAATTTATATACCTTTATGAAAAAAGAAAGAGAGAGAGAGATATATATATATATGAGAATTAAAAGTGAGAGTAAATTGTAATCTATACATCTACGTATGTATATATATGTTGCCGATTGATATGTGCGTGAATTCGGATTCTAGCAAGTTTGTTTTTCGATCTCAAGATGATAAAAGAGCGACGACATTATATACTCCCGAAAAACTCAAAAGTGGTAGTAAGTCATGACATAATTTAGCGAAATGTTATAGCGATGTTTTTTCAAGAATAAGAATAATACAAGAGAATGAATAAATCGTACTACACTTTTTAAGGTTCGAGTTTCTTAGTCGATCATGTCGAGCAGGTGGAAAAAAAGAGATCTCTCAAAGATCTATAAAAACGTAAATTTTCATTTTTCAAAAAAATTTTAGTTCCAACTTTAAAACTTGTCGTTGTTAAAGTTTTAATGATGGAATAAAACGTATGTTTTTATTGTATTACAGTATAGAATTCATAAATTATATTTTTCTAAAAAAAAAAAAAAAAATGAAAATGATAAAATTAATTCGAGAAAAAAGTACTTAAATATTATCGCTATCTACAGATCAAGAGTTTATTCTGGCAGATTTTCAAAAGAATCTTATGTGATTTTCCAAAGACGATTCTTTCTTCCTTTAAAAATTGATTTTCGAGGAGTGATTCGTTTTTTACAAAATAATATAAATAATTTTACTTATGCAAAAAAAAAAAGGATTATCTTTACTTGCAACTGATTATGAGTATTTCTATTGTTGAAAATGTAATAGCGAATCGTTTCTCTTTTTCCTCGCGCGCTCTATTTTTTATTTTTTATCGTATCATTTTGTGAAATTCATCCTCACTTCATTTGCTTCTAACGATTTTGTATTTTATGTAATATAAATAAAGAATTTTNTTTTTTTTTTTTTTTCCTCCTCATTTCGGAGCAACGCTCGTATATATATATATATATATACACACGCGCTCGTACATGGGTGATGTTCGACGTGCGTTTTTGTATATTTCATACTATTGTCTTGAGCAGAAAATTTCATTTGTTGTGACATGAAAGACGAAAAATACCTTAGCTTTTTACAACTTTCAGACCAGCGTTTTGTTTAATAAACCAGAAATTCTTTCCATTTTGTCAAACGAACGAAAAGTCGCAACTTCATTGAAAAACAAAAGTGCATGTATATGTGTAAGAGTGCATATTATGTGCACGAATGTGCATTTATACGCGTTGATAAATAGTTATGGTCAAATAAAAAAATAATCAAAAATTTTCAAGCTTATAATTGACGTTACGCTAAACTAAGTGTTACTGAAATTTTTTTATAAAACGAACGTGTTGATACAGTTAGTAACATTTAAGTATGAAATCTTGTGATAAAAATATCTAGGAAGAATAAGTAAGTAGAAATTTGCGCACAGAGAGCTAGTAGTGCGTCGATGAATGAAAAAAAAAAAAAAAAAAAAAACCGCGTTTTACACGTATACACGCACTGGGGAGGTACGCGTATAACGTACGAGCCACTGATTTAACATCCCTTGACGGTTGGTAAATATACGTATACGCGTAGCGACTATTTTACTACACGTGACTTTGAGAGCTGAGGCTTTATTTGACATAGAAACAAGGTATTAATACACATAAGCGAGATAAAGGTATCTATGATGAACTTGATATTATCTATTAAGAAAGGAAGAAAAAATGTAAAACAATGGAAATTATTTTATTATTTTTATTATTATTATTACTGTAATGTACGTATAGTTGTATAGAAAAGCAAACTATTATCAGATTATTATTACATTATTGTAGAAACTTTTGTGATTTAAGAGAGAATTGTAATAATAAATTCTACTTGTCAAAATCTCATTTTTTACTTTCTAATTCACACCTCTCGCGCACGCCTTCAATTCTTTTACCGTGAATTTTTAGTATATACCGTGTACTAGATTTGATTTTCAAAACAAATTAGTAATACTTGACATCCGATGTGTACGACATAACACAAAAACACGTTATTCCAAATTCGATTCAGGTATGCATATATTTGAATGTGTAAGCGGACCACCAAAGTACCTAGCTCGTTTCAAGAAGATTAAATTTTTTTTACATATAGACTTCAAGTACGTGTAAAAAATTTAAGATAAAAGCACAACTACTCGTTAAGTATGGATTTTTCGCGTTTTCAAAATAAATTTGTAGAATTGTAAATATGCAGGTACGTACAATACGGGTCGGGCATTTAAAGTGTAAACAATGACCAAGCGATGATCTGGAAAATAATAATCCACAATGTTCGATGAATCACAGAGAGAGAGAGAACTTACATGAGCTGTGTATCATTGGATCTGTTCAACACATCAAATGCAAAGTCAGCGACTGCGGATGCAGTGACTAATTTTAGTTGCGATGATAAATTTCGGCCCTTGTTGTTACAATACATGGACGCGTCGTTGTTGTTTTTGTTTAGTATTTCAACTCTAATGAGCACAACTGACGTAAGGGTGAAAAGATAACGGCGCTTGTGTTTTTATCCTCCACGCGAGAACCGTATTATTTGCATCTATAGGAAACGAAAATAATGAATGACTCATATTGTGTCGGACGCTGATATATATTACCTACTACGTGTACCGTATTTGTGAACTTTGTCACCCGATTCCAAAATCAAATCAAGGTCGAAATCTCGAGATTTTCCTAATAGAATAGAACAATTGTTGTTTGAAAAGAATTTTGGAAAAAATTAAAAATATCTGTAAGTATAGGTAAGATGATTACCCACTACGCGATGTCAAGATGTTTTTTTTATCGTACATGATTATTTTTAAAAGTCTGCAAGGCTTTTGTCTATAAAGTAGTGGTAAGTATGACATGTGCCATATAAAGTTGAAGCAATAAGCGGTATATACTTTTTCAACAATAACAACAACAGCTTCTTCGTTACGCAGCTACTTGCTTTATCGGTATAATAATAATAACTTAATTTTCCAGAGGCAAAGAGGGAAACAAACAAAAGTCGTTTTTATATTTTTCGCGAGCACTATTTATCGTCATTTTGCAAAAAAAAAAAAAAAAACGTACTCGCAGAATATAGGTGCGCAAACGTTTAACCAAGCGATAAGAGATAACGAAAATTCCAGCGGCTAAGGAAACAACATGTAACATATGAAAGTGGACTCGTCGGAAAAACAGCCTCCAAAGTGCGGTACTTTCAACGACAATATATTATGCTGTATCCCCTTTTTCTCTTCTTCAATAAAAAAAAACCACATTCCGAAACCTCACGAACCTATATACTTTTTTGATAAGGAAAAGAGAGTAAAAAATTATCCCCAAGCAGCGTTCGGGTACATTTTCAAAGACAAATTGACGCAGCCACGCGACTTTGATAGAAAGTACGGAATAAAATAGAAAAAAAAAAAACAACAACAACCTAGAGAGAAAAAGCTATCAGCACATAAAAACACGTAGACTTGAATTACACGAGCCGACTGGCCCGCGCTCAAACGTATATTATGATACGTGGCTTGAATGCCGCGTCGTCGCCGTGCATGTGATATTGTGTACAAAATATAGAGATACAAAAAACCTGTGCAGTTAGAAGTGGATGAGAGAAAAGGAGATACAGCGGCTCTCTCTCTCTCTCTTCGCTGGAAGCGAGTTCTCTTTTGCTCTCTCTGCTGGAAAAGGATGCACGTGTATACCTATGTATAACCGATATGACGTATATACCTACACGGAAAAACGGAGTCGTTTGGTTTCGGAGCTGCCAGAGGCGAGTTCAGTGTTCAGTCTTCGAGCGCACGGTGCAGCGTACAGTGCCGTACACGGTATACATTTATTACACTCGGCCTCGTCTCGGCACGCACAAGTAGTAACTCTTTTTTTTTTTTTTTTCCTCCTCATTTCGGAGCAACGCTCGTATATATATATATATATATACACACGCGCTCGTACATGGGTGATGTTCGACGTGCGTTTTTGTATATCCCGTGTAACACGTTGTTTCGGAGCTCCGGTTCGCCGAGGGAACGGTCTCTGACGCGTGGTGTTTCGCACGGAGTGTCGCTCGACTAGAAGGACATCACTGGGGGAGGGGGGGACCTTTGGGCTGGAGTTATTGTCGAGGATAAAAAATAAACCAAGGAAAAATGATATAAATTCCAACAGAGGGTGATAATCATTATTGACAAAAAATAAATAAATAAATAACAACAAGGAAAAAACGACAAATAAGGGAAATAAACAGCCAAGGAGCAGCAAGATGGCCACTACGATAGACGACCGGCAGGAGCTCCTTGAGTGCTTCCAGGCGGTGAGTGTCCCCTGTTTTATTTATTTATTTATTTTTTTTTTCTCATTTTCAGCGCTTAAGGGTACACACAATAGTTACAGTCTCGCCGAAGCAACGAGAGCGCCGATTGTTGAAAAAAAAAAAAAAAAAAAAAAAAAGTTAACTCTCCGCTCTCGGTGCTGTTATACTCCGTTCTTCCACCTACAAAGACCGTATAGCTGCGAGGAGAGTAGGTACACATTGTATGCGCGAATTGCTCTATCTTATATCTGCACTTGTCTAGGTGTACAAACGTACGAAAGAACACGGGGGAGTGCGTAGCGTGGAGAGTATATAGTCCCCCACACGCCCACGCGAGACCCCTTACCACCCCTCCCCCCCCCCGCGGATAGGTGCTCTCTCGGTCGCGTTTGTAACAGTACCTACATATATATTATACCTTGGGATAGGGTGGAAACGAAACGGGGACCCCTCGTTGTGCATGTGTGCGCTTTTATTCGATATCCTACGTCTTTGTAAAATACACAAGTTTTACGTGTGCGCGGGGTACACGTATAAAAATATCATCATCTGTACGTACGGATGAGCACGTATAATATAATATATACACACACGCTTTTTATAATATCGACGCGGACTCGCGAGAGAGCGGGCCACGCGGCTGTATAACGAGAAGCCCTATCGTGATCATCATATCTTGTGCTCCCTCGCACAACTTGCACCTTCCGCTTGAATGTTATACCTACTTGCATCTGTCATACGCGTATACGTGCTCCTTTTTTTCCCAACCCCATCAGCGACTTTTACCCTTATTCCGTGTTTGCTGTCCCTTTAAACATTTGTCGTCTGCCTGAACAAGTATATACACACTTCTCTTTCACTTTTAACGCTTCGTTCCCCCCTTAATTTTTTTTATTCTGCACGACCTCACGCCTGCATGCCTGCTGTTGTTTACTTTTTCATTCAGGTTGTAGATACCTTTTATAAATATATATACTCCGAGCCACAAAGTGACCATCACGTATTCATTTGGCGTTTAGTTGCGTATTAACTTATTTAAGTACTGTAGTTGCAACAGCATGTGTGTGCGTGGTGCATCAATCATGTATGTATTATACACCCCCCCCCCCGTGCCTCGTGTATAACCAGTCGAAAGTACACCTAATTTGAATTCATCGGCGATCACCGCGTCTATACGTATACTTACACGCGTGAGGCAGCACAAAACGTACATTGGATAATAAGTAGTGACCCACAATTTTAGTGTCGACTGCGAAATTGAAAGTACAGGGTCGTGCAAAGAATGCCAATGAATTTTGACACTCAAATATTATATTTGAAAAAAAATTTTTTTTTTTTACGCATTATTTTCGCAATTTTCTCGATTAGTCCACAATTAAATTCTGATTTCTCTTATCGGAGCGCCAACAAACAAACCGTTCGAGGATAACGCCAATCAATCGTTCGATGCGATAACGATGATATATATATTATATATTACGGTGTATAGATACCAAGACGAGTAATTTCATCACGAGTGGACCGTGATTTGTTACCTTTATATACGATTCAATTGAAAATCCATCGATGGGAGAAAAAAATCTTCAACGGACTTTTCATAGAAAAACGCATGTTATTTCGAGCACGAGAGCTCAACTCTCTCAGCGGGATGGCTCATCGGCACTTGCACCTCCCGCTTCGCTCGTCCTCAAAATATATATTCCAAAGTACGCATATATATGCATGTACCCTTTGGGTTCTCCCTCGGGTATTATTATCGTGCGACGTATTTTTCTGGAAAACATTGCCGCAACTGTAAGTAGCTCGTTTTCAAACGATACGATGGTCGGTCGCGTGTCATTGAAGGTAAAATTAAAATTCATTGACAGAACGCCACGGCGACGGTAGATCGACTGTGTTACACGGAGTTACGTAAAAAAGACGGATCGGCTCGATGCGAGAGAGGTAGCGAGATGTGACCCGAGTGTTTGTCCTCCTCCTCGTGAAATTGAATCGCACTTTGCCACTCCCTATATATAAAACGATGACGATCAAAGTGCGGTGCGCGCAAATCAAGAATTTTGCGCCTTTTCTCTCTCTCTGCCACACAATGTTTATGCGCCCTGCGGCATAATATGTTAATGAATCACGCCGAGGAAGCGCATGGGTATCAAGAGCGATTCGCTCTCTCTCTCTTTGCTTTTGCCCGGTTACAACATAGCCTTGTACCCCACGGGCACGTTACCTCTTCTTGTTTCATTGCCCGATCGTGCACTAGCGTGTCTTCTTCTTTTTGCTCTTTGTCGTGCGAATACGTACTTTTTCTTGACTCACTGCCAAGCGATGACTACTCGATACATTGACTCATCGCACGCGCTCGATTATACATATATACATATACCACTGGAAGAAGAAAAAAAACGTGCACATACCATCATCATCATCTGCATGCTGTTGGCGATGATGCAAATATAGTCTATATGGGAGAGAAAAACGCGACCTCCGCTCTATCTCTGAGATGTATGTGCGTTTGGGCCTTGGACCGCGCGCGGGTGGATCTTTTTAATAAATAATTTTTCCGGAACTCGAGATATTTAAGTATTTCTTTGGAAAGTATGCTGCTGTACGCATATTGATGACGTCCCACAAATATCCGCCATGCATATGTATATGTATAGCGCTTCCGCCTGAGTCAACAAATTCTTGTTTTTGTTTTTTTTGTTTTTTTTCTCTTCTCTTATCGCTCCCGAGTTTTTTCGGGGCGCGTCCATCGCCTCCGCGACTTTGTACAACAATACAATATTATACACACACCTATGCGTTGTTCTTTCTGAAAACAAGTTTTTTAATTTCTCGTCTCGGTTTTTCTGGAAAACGTACATTAATTCTGTCGGTTGACGATTTGGACACACATCGGTAGAGAGAATAATGTCACAACGCAACCGCGATTATCAAATTTCCCCCCCCCCCCTGCATTTCTCAATGGGGGCCTTATCGTTACCATCTACCGCTATCGGAGTACTTATGCGTATATAAATAATGATACGTGATTTCGAGGGGAAAAACAGAGGATGACGACAGACACAGGCGCAATCCTTCAAATAACTCGATGAAACTAATCAAAAGCACAAGCAATAGTAATAAAAGCACACGAGTACTCCCGTTTTGTCCGACGTTTGCCCGATAACGCATGGGTCTCCAAAGAGGTCACACCATTAACATATTCATGCGACGTGAGTAATCTCGTAATTTCGTGGAACGACGCAAATATAGAACAAGAGACCCAAACGAGAGTATAACATACAGTACAACGTGGTGCACCTTTGTATTGTGCGACAGGTGAATCATTTCGATACGGTCACCACACACGGACTCGTTACTCGCTCGATTGCTTATTATTATTGTCTATAAGAAACAGTTGATTGGGTAGTTTTTTTTTTTTTGTTTTTTCATGTCTCTTACGCACAAAGGGCCAAAAGCATCAAGCTCGTGTTGGGGACGTCAAAAAACTTGCAACGCGATAAGAACAAAAGTATAAAACAGACGTTACGTGTAATATATACATTAAATAACATAAAAAAAAAAAAAAAAAATTGTAATTGCACAGCGAGTTGTCTTTTGTAGTGTCTCGCGCACGAGGAAAAATATGGAGATGCGGGCGCTTACGTGTACACGGGCGAGGAATTTCCACTGTATTGTAACTCGTAACGAAACACGTGTGTGTATGTAGTAATAGGGTTTTATCGCGTCTCTCTCTCTCTCTCTGCGTGTTATCTTCGTGCCGATCTAGCGACTCGAGTATTACTTTACATCGTCGCGTATATTGCGGAACGAAATAATCTCTATACACACACGCCGAGCTGCAAACGGAGCGTTTACCCGTGTCATTGCGTTTTTTTGTTTCGACGAATCGGTTTCGGTTCGTTTGTATTGACCGTTTCGCCAAATTTACCAATCAATTTGAAATTTTACGTACACGCGCTTCGCGTCCGCATAGTTATCTGCTGGCTGATAAAAACAAAGGGGAAGAAATACAATTGCTCGTTTCTCGGCCGCTGGGTAATGCGAAATCAATCGTGCGCTGCGAACTAGGGAGTAAAAAATAAATAGTTTTCTATCGGTACGGAGCTGAAACTATACCAACAATAATATCAAATTCTATTGTAATTTGGCTCAAGATCTGGTTTAAGAGTACCCAAAGTGGTATTTAGGCTGCTATATACATTCACTTTCATTGTCGTGTCTTTTGGCGTATTGGTAAAATGGCACATACACGAGATATCTGGGCCATTATTTCCTTACTTTTTGTGTTTACTATACACGTGCGTCGTCGTCGTCGTCGTCGTCGTGTAACTTATTCTAGATTTGGTTTTAAAAATTAATGAAAAAAGCGTCTCTCTCGTTATCTAATTTGTGTACGAGAGATTTTTCCTTGTTTTCGTACGCGTATACGCAATACCTTCACGGAACCTTTTACTTTTTTCTACGAATAAAACGAATCACGAATATAATCGGGTGACCTACTCGGGGCGTGTTTGGATGTATAATCGATTTGTATGATGCTTGGGGCACGACGATCATTACCAGATAAAATTTGGTACAGATCTGAAAGTGATCTAAAGTAGCCCTAATGTTGATGCATGATGGCATTTATTGCAGATCGACTCGAACAAGGACGGCTACATCGACCTAACGGAGTTGCGAAACGCCCTGGACCAGTGCGGCTTCAAAATGCCGGGGTACAAGGTCCGCCAGATGGCCGAGGAGTACGCGGCGAAGCGCCGGCCCCAGGAGCAGGGCCGACTGAGCTTCGACGAGTTCGAGAAGCTCTGCAAGGAGTTGCGCGCCAGCGAGCCGAGTTCCAGCTTCAAGCAGGTAGTCTCGAAGAAGGAGAACCTCGAGATCATATCCGGGTTGTCGACCGCCTCGAGCGAGGGCACGACCCACTCGGTCAGGCTCGAGGAGCAGCTGGCCTTCAGCGACTGGATCAACACCAATCTCGCCCACGACAAGGACCTCAAGCACCTGCTGCCCATTGACGCCGAGGGAAAAACCTTGTACGACAAATTCAAGGATGGCATTCTTCTCTGGTAGGAGCATTTTTTTTTTTTTTTTTTTCTCTAGGGAATGACGATGTGTGATGTTTCATACGTGCCGTTCTTCTTCATTTCGACAGCAAAATCGTGAACCACTCGTGTCCGGACACCATAGACGAGCGCACCATCAACAAAAAGAACCTCACCCTCTACCGAGCCCACGAAAATCTGACCTTGGCCCTTCGCTCGGCTCAATCGATCGGCTGCAACATCGTAGGTTATTCATACATACATGTGCATGTACCTATATGAGCATTGACCCACGAGACGCGAATAACATTTTTATTGATGTAAACACCCAACGTTGTTCTCAGATAAACATCGACGCCCACGATCTGACCAAGGGTTCGCCCCACCTGATCCTCGGATTGCTTTGGCAGGTGATCCGCGTGGGACTCTTCAATCAGGTACGCCAGTAACTAAAAAAACACCAAAGTTTATTTGAACAATAAAATTTAAAGATTATCGTATGCCCATGCCGTATTCCGTATACATCGTAATTGTATCGAGGCGTTTTAAATGAATTACCGTTTGCCATTAAATCAGATAACCCTCGAGAACTGCCCGGGCCTGGCCCGCCTGCTCCAAGACGGCGAGCGCATCGAGGACCTGCTTAGGCTGTCACCGGAGGATATACTTTTGCGCTGGGTGAACCATCACCTGACGAACGCGGGTATCAACCGGCGCTGCACCAATTTCTACTCCGACATAACAGACTCGGAGATCTACTCGCACCTCATCCACCAGATAGCCCCGAAGGAGGCGGGCGTTAGCCTCGAGGCGCTGATGGAGCCAAGCCACATTAATCGGGCCGAGGTCATGTTGCGCCAGGCCGCGAAGATCGACTGCCGGAGCTTCGTTACCGCGAGCGATGTCGTCAACGGCATACACAAGCTTAATCTCGCCTTTGTCGCCAATATGTAATTTACACTTCCCTGTCTCTTTTGTACCTCATTCGTTCTTCCTTTTTCATCGAGTTATTCGATCAATGCTTACTTTGTAATAGGTTCAACAAGTACCCGGGTCTAGATAAACTGGAGGAGGACAACATCGAGACGGTCGAGGAGAGCCGAGAGGAGAAAACTTACAGAAATTGGATGAACTCGCTCGGGGTGTCGCCCTACGTGAACTGGCTCTACTCCGATCTGGCCGACGGTCTGGTGTTCTTCCAGCTCTTCGATATCATTAAGGTACATCTACAGTTGTTTAAAATTAAGTAACATATACCTAAATGGGTTGGTTGATGGGCGTAATGAATAAATATAAAAATAAATATTCAGCCGGGTAGCGTCAACTGGACGAGAGTTCACAAGAAGTTCTCGAAGCTGCGCATGTTCATGGAGAAGCTGGAGAACTGCAATTACGTGGTCGAGCTTGGAAGGCAGATGAATTTCTCGCTGGTTGGTATCGCGGGACAAGATCTCAACGATGGCACTGTCACCCTTACCCTCGCCCTCACCTGGCAGCTCATGAGATCGTACACACTTTCGATCCTGAGCGGCATTACCGACAGACCCGGTGGCATCGTCGTCGAGAAGGAGATCGTCCGGTGGGCCAACTCGAAGCTCGCTTCGGCCGGTAAGGCCTCCTCGATCAAGAGTTTTCAGGATTATAGCATCGCTGACGGCAAGGTCGTGCTTGACCTCATCGACGCGATCAAGCCTGGTACCGTCAACTACGACCTCGTCAAAGAAGGTGGAAACGAGCAGGTTCGTTTCAATACCTTTTTTCTATTCTAATACTCAGTGAGCAAAGTTATGGCAATTTGGTTGTTCGTTTTCTCAGGACAATTTAGATAACGCCAAGTACGCGCTTTCACTGGCACGAAAAGCTGGCGCTCGCGTTTACGCGCTTCCCGAAGATATTACCGAGGTCAAACAAAAAATGGTCATGACGGTCTTTGCTTGTCTTATGGCCACAGATTACGTGCCCGGCGCCAATAATTCCAACAGTCAGCAGACAAATAACACGGAGAGCAAAAATCACAGCGCGGAATAATACAGCCCACTCTGTAGTAAAAGGCTGTGGTGTTCGTCATCCTTATCTCCCCTCACCCTTATTTCCCTGACGTCCACCTGAATTTTTTTTTTTGCATTCAATTATGTATTTTTTTTCTTTTTTTTTTTTTTCATGTAAATATGTATTAATAAATACCCATAAGCTATTTTCATTACGCGAGCGCCTAAAACAAGACGAAAAAAATGAAAATCGAGCAAAGGAACACACGTAGGCCTATACGTAGCTTGAATTAATTTATAATGTATTGTAGCAGCAGTAGAAGCAAGTGGAGGAATGATAATACTTAATTGGAAAACGGACTAAAAAAAAGTGCTAGAAAGCGGTGTGTTAGTGTAACATATACGTAAATAAGTGCGTAGTCGCCGCGACAACGCGTCATTTATTGGTATTTTATAGCGAATTAGGCTTGTGTGTCATTACTATGATTATGTCGTTTTTTTCTTCCCTGTCATAATGTTGTGACTATATATTTACGTAGAAAGGCAATTTTTGACGCTGAAATATCCGCGCTTTGCAAGTTTAATAGTTTTTTTTTTTCTTTTATTTTACTATTATGAAAGATATTTTTTATTTTTTTTGTTTTATTTAGCAGAGAGTTGCTAAAAACTTGTAAATCATGTGAAAATTTAGATTTTTTTTAAAAAACATTTTATATAATTTTTTTTT